GCGGGGAGGGGGCCTGAGGGCGACACGGTCGGGCGGACCTTCTGGGCGCTAGGGGAGAAAGGTGGAGCTCTGGAACAGCCCAGCTTTTTGGGAAGGCACGGGCGGATCGGCTGCGGTGCCGGCTCTGCCTGCCTTGCCTGCCCTTCTTGCCTTGCCTTGCCTTGCCTTGCCTTGCCTTGCCTTGCCTTGCCTGTCATGTCTCGTCTCGTGCTTTGCTTGCCTCTTTCTGCTCTGCCTGCTTCTCCTCTGCTGTGGCCCCTGCTCCAAGACGATCGGCTGAGCCGCTGACGAGAGAGAGGAGGGGGGGGGGGGAGAGCGCCTGCCAGCTTGCGCGTTTGCCCGTGCTCCGTGCCCGTGCTGCCTGCCTGCCTGCCTGCCTGCTACTGCCACTGCCAGTCTGTGCCTCTATTTTCGGAAACTTCGTCAGTCAAGAGAGCCTGCTCCTCATATATCGGCATGAGTGTATTGCCCGTCGCTGTCGCCTTCTCTTTGCCGACCGTGGTTCTGTTTCGCTTGTCCTTGCTTTGGCTCGCTTCTGCACCAACCCGTCGAGTCCAGCCCACCTCCCAACACCTCATCTGCCTGGCGTGCTGCCTAGGGACTGGCCGGTCACGACCATACACCAAATGGCTGCCATGGGCCTGGGTTTCGGTCTGCTTGGTTTCATTTACCAACGAGAGAGTTGACGGCCCTGCCCATCCCATCACGTGAAAGCCTCCGATGAATTGGGCTTTGCTTCGCGTCGCGGATCGGGGGGACTCGACACCCCCAGCCCCAGGCGACCAACCGAACCTCCGTGGAATCCGCCGCGCCGACCGAGCATAAGCGTGGATCCCCCTTCCGTCCACCATTGTCTTCGACCCTCCACTTTCTTCTTGGCGCCTCACCGTCATCTGCTTGCCATCGCCGACGGACCTTCTCCTCCCCTCGTCAAAAACTGTACGCCGATGGGGGGTGACTTGACAAGCCCGCCGACAAAGAAGCAATGCGCCAGATACATACCTGACCACAGACCGGTCCGGTCGACCTGGAAGCAACCGTCAGTCAGCCCCCCCCCCCCAGCCAGTGGGAACCTACTCATCCGGCCCCATGCGCGAAATGAACAAGGTGTGAGTTCGGAGGGCGCCCGGACCACCGCGTCGCCCACTTTCGCGTGAATCCCCCCCCCCCCGATGGCCTACGACGCGGGCACTGGGCAGAAAATGGCAAGCGGAAACGGCGGCCACTCTCGGGTGCAGTGGTCACCTCCCCTGGCTCCCTGGCTCCCTGCCTTGGGGAAGGGGAGGAAGCAAAATACGCCCCTGCAGCTTCATCGGGCGGTCTAGCCCGGCTAGAATGGGACAGACACTCTGCTCACCCACCCGTCACCTATGGCCTGCTACTTCTCGGCTCATCCGTCGCCTGGTACTATGCACTTGTCGGCCGGCGGTCCCCTAACCTTTTGCCCACAATGCCGTGAAGATGCATTTTTCCGACTCTAGACCTGGTGGAAGCGACCGAGTCCTCCCCATTGAAATGCGAAATGGGGTATCAATAGTCACAACAGCCAAGGGGCCGGCACCAGGAGCTCTCTCTTTGCTCCGTTTCCGATAGGGTGTGGTGGCTGCCAGCGCGGCAAAAATGCAGGAGAGAGCACGAGAGAGTAGGAGCAGGACCAGGAGCAGGCGTCCGCGATCGATGTGGCCTCATGTCGGCAGCGGCACAATCACACCGGTCTCCTCCTACTACTCACAATTGCTTCCTCCAGGAATCATCGTTTCATGCCGTCCTTCGTCTTGTCTCCCTCCCTTTCCCGGAGGAAACCCATCTCCGAAGCCAACACCACCACCAGCGAACGTGTTCGACCCTTTCCCACACCCAGACAAACGGACCCAGACAAACGGACCCCGGACCCCAGATCCCAGACAGGCTCGGCACCCTCTTGCGTCCCCGCCGAATGTTGGCCAACACCACCACGGGCGCAGCCTGTTCCCATGTCGCGCATCCTCAAAGCGCTTGTGCCATCCGTCGCCCGATCGATCGCATGATAGACGGGTGCTGGCGATATATCTTCCCTCGAACCAGTCACGCCTCCTATTTATACTTTGCCACGGCTTCATGGCGTCTTTTTTGTCCCGGCATCGAGGTCTCGTCGTCTCCAGCCATTTCCTCGACATCAGGCTATCTTCATCAATTCATGAAATCTCAATCACAACGAAGGTAGGGTAGGTAGAGGTGCCGAGTGTATAGTTGTCCACAGACTAGGTAGTCTTCGGCGGTCCTGTCGAGTGGGGCCGGCCCCCCAACGTTCCTCGACAAACGCCCAGACGGCCACAAACACTCTTGTTCCTGCGCCTTGCCTCGCGGCGAAAGACAATACTCCCGTGTACCGTCAGAATCAGGACGCCCGACACCACAAGAATGGCGTCGGACAGCGCACAGCGCATACCCAACGACCTCGAAATGGCAAGCCTGTCGCCTTGCTTTCTGCCTTGTGTGACACCGATGGGCCTTTCTGTGTGTAATGCCAGCCGAGTCGTCCATACAGATGATAGTCTCTGTACATTTCAGCCGGCCTATGCCTCCTCCATCCATGTGTGTTACCCCCCGGCCGGGCCACGTCGACAGCCCCCGCCCCTTTTCTTCCAGCATGTGCCACTAGGGCCCAAGATCCCGAGCCAGTCCCCCCGCCAAACGCCATCTCCTTCCGACGGTGCACCATGCCCGTTCTGCCATGATCTCTCTATCCACTCGCGACAACTGCCATCGACCAGCGACCACGAGTCACTCGGTTGTCTTTCGCTTTCATCGGGGTAAAATGACAAGAAGAAAAAAAAAAAAAAGAAGAAAAAGCGCGGCCGACCCTTGTCGACAGGCCATTCGGACAGGCCATTCGGACGCCCTGCCGAGTACCCAATCCATCAAACCCACACCATTCCCCGCCAAACCCTCGGAGTTACAGCAACAATCCCACCCCGTCACGGAGCGTGCCCTAAGATTGCCCTCCCGTATTGCCGAGCCTGCCGAGTCGTCCCCCGATGTGTCCAAAGCACTCAGCCCGCAACGTGAGCCTCTCACTTCTCTTTGCCGCAAGCAGTCTCCCTGAATAAGGTGGAGATCTGACTGGTCTAGGAACCGATGCCGCCCTTGGGCCTCCATGCGACCGGGACCTGTGTTATCCTCGCCGTGTGGAAGCTCTGTTGGGTCTGCACGGCCCGCCGACCTTTGCCTCGGTCTTCGCCGCGAACGATCATCAGTGGAGTAAGTTAGGCCCGGTCAACGGAGTAGATTTTAGGAGGGACCGGGTGCTTTCTGTTCAAATATCCATAACGAGTGCACTGGAAAGAACGCCATTTCATTTCGACCTGCATCGGCCTCGACCGCGCCCACGCAAAAGCAGTCGATGGTCAAAGGGCGTTGAATTTTCCTTGGGACCCCCCCCCCCTCACCATTCTCCCTCTGTTGCCTTCCCCTCCTGGAACGCCCCCTGAGCGAGCCTCAGGCCGATCGTGGTCCCCTCGGGCTCAAACACCGTCGCCCGCCACCCGTTGCTTTCCATACCCATGCCGCGCAGGTGCATGTAGGACCAGCCAATGGCTGGCGCCTGCTGCCCCAGGGCGGCTGTCCACATGTTGCCGGTGTGGGTGCCACCACGGCGACACGCAAACCGAGCGCGCCTCTCCCCTCCGGCTCTTCAGAGTGGAAATGGTCAGTGGCACCTTGCCCATCAGCCCAAGTGGCGCCGAAAACAGAGTCACGCTCCGGCATCGCCTCACTTGTCCGCCCCCCTCCCGACGCTAATCGACTCAGCTGCCCAGGTGTGCGCCATTTTCTCCTCCGGGCTGATCAATACAGCGGCCGTTCGTCGAAGGACGCCCCTTCTCCGTATTGCCGGCCGCCACCCACTTTTCCCACATTGACGGTTGGGTTCTGAGGCGGCCAAGCAAACGGGGTCATGCACAACTGACTCCGCGGATTCCGCCGGAAACACTTTGGTTTACCCCGTTCGACTGTCCGTATCCGAAACGTCTGGGCGACCCCCGCCCATATCTCGTGCTGGTGGCTATGGTCCCTGTCGTCACGTACGGTGTGGCCTCACTTAAGAGGCAATGCGTGGCAGCGCGACTGAAAGACAAGGTTAGCAACCATTTTTATTTATTTATTTTTCCCCCTCAAAAGAGTCGGTATCGGTTGACGGAGCCAAGCCCTGGCATCAAACAAACGCGAGCGCGCGTGTGGGTAATCGACCCTGTCTGTTCTGCAACAAAATGATTCATACCGTAGTGACACCACCAATGCTTTTCGAGACAAGAGTTCGTACCCTGAGACCTGATTTCGATTAGCGAGGGCAACGAGCAAACAACGGGCTCGGGAGACGCCTCCGGAGCCTATTACTTCCGGGACCCCGAAGCGGGGCACGGGCCAATTAGCCCTGAGTGTGTCAATCTGGTCCCCCCAACATGGTATCGCGTCGGGAGGGCCCCCGCTTCTTTTCCTTGACTCGGCACTTAGCTGCCCGGCGATAGTCTCCAAGGCCGTCGCGGGATGACTCAGTGCCGTGATTGTCATGCCGCGGCATCGATGCCGGGGCGTAGTTGGCAGATTCTTACAGATTCTTATCCAGCTTAGAATGCACATTTTACATAGCCAATACTTGCTTGATGCACACGCGGGCTCTGTCAAGGTGGTGACGTGGTCTCTTCTGTACGAGGAAATGATCAAATGTGATCGGCCCAAAGCCACTGGCCAGGATCAGCACGAAAAGATCGACTTTACAGTCATGTTCGCATCAAAATGGCACTGCTCACCGCATCCAGTCTGCTTATAACCTAGAAGATTCAAGCCCCCAACGGACGCCGAACTTCACAGCGATCATCAACAATGCTTCGTCTCCAACCACAATCACTAGAAGCAATATTGTCCTGTTGCCACTGGCTATGCGACCCTTGTCTTCTGCCTCACCTCTGCCGTTGGACCACAGGACCTTGCAATGGAGTTTCATCTGGCTGCTTGGGTGCCAAGCCCGGTGTGATAAGGAATGATCACACCATCTGAGTGAATTCCGTTGAAGGCCTCAAATCGGGTCTTCTGTGTGAAAAGGATGCCGTCAGGGCCATCTTCTCACCGCTACTCCGCAGCTCTCTGAATCCCTTTCGTACACACGCGGGAACTACCATCTCAGACATGCCGTTGTCGTCAGTAGTCTTGGCGTCAAGTCGCCCACCGTGTTGCGCTGGAAGCTGTGGCTGAGACGTTATCGGTCAGTTGTCCCAACTTGGAGTGTAGGCCGCGCATCAAGCACATCGAGTCTTGCGAAGGATCATGCCGAGATGCCCTGACGAGTATGTCCGCGTTATCGACTTTGAGACCACGCGGTCTTGTACAGGCGTTAGAGAGTGACGATTTTTCACCATGCATCCGATTGATTGCTCACCCATGACTTACGCTCTCACTAGTTGATGGCATGCCTTGAGATGAAGAGCTGGAACAGCCGCTGACGTTGCGCTCTTCCAGAAGCGTGACTACCTATTCTTGAGACTAGGGTAAATAAAATGATGGAATAAAGGAGTAAGACGAATGAGTCCAGGCGAGAGGCCAGCGTGATGATACTTTGAATCCTATGGGCAGGCTACGCCAGCGCCTCCCCGGATCTTGTCTATTGACTAGGCGTACCTGAAGATCTCCGGACGTCCTGGCGGGATTTCCGACCTCTTGAATACACAGGTTCAAGAGTACAGAAAGGATGGCTTCCGGCTTTGCGTGCTGGTCATCATTTACCAAAGAGAGAGAGTCAACGATGCTGGTATTTAGTCACTCGGTGGTTGTGCCGGGCAATGCTTCAAGCTATCGATATGCAGCCAAAACTGCCATCTGTGTAACAGAATAATGAAGCTATCCGGCTTGGTGAACGAAAGGTCTTGAGCATCCTGTACCGTTGATTCAGACGTAAATATGTAATGATAAGGGGCGTCTCAGAATAGGTTTGGCAAACATCCGGCGGTTCGCGGACCGGAAGTCGGCCATAGAGGTATGACTGGATACGGCACGTTTGCAACCTGATCGTGCCATCTCTTGCTCTTAGCTGAATATCAGCCTTACCCATGGCGAGAACCCATATCATGTGACCATCGGCTGAGAGGCGTCAAGCAGACAGTTGTGTGAAAGATCGTAGTCTTGGGATCTCCAGCTATGGTGTTCGAGAGGATGCGGAGCGCACAGCTACCACCTGCACATCCAGCAGAACATATACTTCATCAATGTCATCATGTTAGGATAACACAGGCGATCAGGTCTACGGCGCCGTCACGCTGCATATAACCATTATCAACCTCATTTTCGGTGCGTACATGATATTGCATCCAAAGTGAATGAGAGCTGTCCTACTCCGAACAAGATGGGCGCATGCCTACCTCCAACAACAGCAAGTCTGCAGTGAGACTCGTGCAAGATAGACACTATTCATAAGATCATTTCTATTCCCCACCAAATCAAATGCCCGCTATGATGTGTTCATGTCGAACTTCTACCAGTGCCCGCTCAACAGACATGAAGGAGAAATCTACCCATCTCGCTAAGTGTCATGATACCCCCCGAACCCAAATTCTCTCCAGCGCCGTCACGACCTGCGTCATCTCTCGTCCAACCTACTCAAAAGTCCCACAGCGTTCCAAATGCGTTCATGCCAGCTGTCATCAAGGTTAGCGGAATACCGACTGCATGCGGAAGAGGCCAACTCACTAGCAAGACAACCCTGCATCATCTCGTCGTTGCCCTGCTTGTTGGACGTGATGAAGATGACCTCAGCGCCGAAGCTCTTGTAGACGTCTTGCAGGAGCTGCAAGGTATCCGGCCGGCCGCCCCGCTGTTTGGAGTCCCACAGGATCATGCGATCAGACTCAATGTGCTTGTGGATGAGGCCACTGATCGTAGGCCCGAATGTCTTTTCCTGGTCCGACCCGATCCAGATGAAGAACCTGAACAGCATCAGTAAATACAACCTGAAATTATGCATGTGAATGGCGCACCAGTTGGGGCTTTGGATGCAAGTCGACAGCGCGGCGCCGATGCCGGTCCCCGTGCAGATTCGGATACCCCTCTTGAACATGGCGGACGCGTGACCGACTCCGGCTGCATCGTGTCAGTACGTGCTGGTACACAGTCTCGAGCGATGGGCCATACCGAACTTGAGCTCCCTCGTCCACACCGTCTTGGGCGGATCGGCCACGAGGCCTTTCGTAAAGTCGCCCTGCACACCGCAGATCATGTAGTGACAGCCCGATTTGCGGCCCTCGCTGATGATGCCGAATGCGTGGTACTCCATGATGGAAGTGCGGCTGATCCTGCCGAGGAGACCTTGCTGCATGCCGCGCTCGAACTTGAGGATCGCGACTTTGGGTGACGGCTGTCCGGGCACACTGTCAGCGTTGCGTCATATCAACCGGCACGACGGAGGCGACTAACAATCTCGACCTCAACAGGAACTTCCCGTAGTGTAATCCAAGGTATGGCAATGCTGTAGTAGAGTGTTAGCACAGCCCAACAGTATTCATGTGGGGCAGGGGTCCGGAAGCTTACAAGACGGTCATGAAAACAGCAAACCACAGTTCCTGTGCGCTGAGAAGAGAGTGAGCGTCCGACCTCCACTCTCCGCGCTTGATGTCATAGACGTTGCCGAGAATGGTAAAGCACCACGTGGCCTACGATGTGTTAGCCTTTGCATCGGTGTGCCTATACGTGCAAGACGTACCGCCAGGCCAAGCCATCCGATGAAGCGATGGTGCCTTTCAAAGGTGTTGTGATGATTGCTTCGCCCAAGTCAGCAAATGAAAGTGAGAATCGAAGGGCGGTGTGGCAACGGCAACTCACTTGCGAACCCATGGGAAAGCGCTGAGAATGGAGATGATGACGAGGATACTGGTGATGATGCCTGTGGCGATGACAGCGCCGTGTTGAGAGGCCCGGTGGACAACAATGTCGACAACTTTGTAAACCAGCCAACTGGATGGAGCTCGTCAGCATGGAAAGAACAGAAACTATATGAGGGCATTGACTGACGCAGCGCCGGAAAGCGCACAACCAGAGTGTATCCCACCAACGTGCTGGAGAGCTGAGGTTACTGCAATCTTGAAGCAGGTCGGTGCCCACTAAATCGTGGAACGTCAGCATCTGCTTGTCGACTGAGATTTAGCATTCGGATGTACGTACGCTGCGAAGGCCGTAGATAGAGATGAAGTAGAGAAACCTTAGGAAAAGTTCGTTTCTCATCAACACGGCAGTAAGAAGATTACCAAGCAAGAGAGCACCGAGATGGTTCTCGGCGTAGGGGAAGCGACCAAGTATTGCCAAGACGATGCCGGTCAGGTTGAGGGCCACGATGAAGGTGAAGAACTTGCGATAGGTGCTGAACCAAAGTCGAAAGAGGATCCAGCGACTGGGCTTTGGTCGAGGTTGAACGGTTGTGGTTGCCTTGGCAGCAGGCGGCCCAGGCGCAGGATTCTTCTCTTGGAAATGGCAGGCTGGTAGGAGAGTCTGCGACAGAGCGGGAAAGCTGGAAGTCGGAGTAATACCCTCATGGATTGGTGAAACGGGTGACGGGAGGCTCTCGACGGCAGTAGGCCTCAGACCTTTCTCGACATCGTCGAAAATTTGGCTGTCGTTGCTGGGAGTAGTCGCTCCGCTGCCTGACCACTTGACCGTCATTGCGAACTCTACAGAATTGTGCAGAGGACAGATTCAACGGGACGTTGTCCTGTGCGGTGATGGTGCAACCCAAGGGTACCACCGAGCCAGAAGACACAGGGTTATAAACTTCGAAGAGAGGCCGTGAGAGATACCTGATCTGGCAGGATGCCAAGAAGAAACGGAAGTTGTAAATCTCGATCTGGGGTATGATATCACTATCGAGTGTTCCTAGTCAGCCATCGACTGATCAAGGCTGTTGAGGTTCGATTCGGTTGCGGCGATTGCTTGATCACAAGGGCCACGGCAATGAAGTGGTGTGCTGAGGATTATTCGTTGGCGATATTGCGAGTATCAGCTGTGGCACAGGAGTCCGTCAGGCTTCGTCGGCGTCAAAGGTGCAGTCACGTCAAGGTGTTCGTGTCTCCGCAGGTCTCACAAGGCCCGATGATCCAAATTGCCCCCCTTGGATACCAAGGCAGAACTTATATTCAAAGTCTGGGCACTCGGAGGGGGACCGACTGGATGGAAAGCCACCTCATGGTTCTACGGAGCGAAGGGGGGCCCCCATGTTCCCCCGGGAGTGAGACAAGCAAAAAAAAGTGACGAGCCCCATGTGCCGGGATGTTATGACCCGGTCTGAGTGACGACCAGACCCAGCCTCAGTCATGGAAGCTAGAAACGTCGGCGACTCTACGGAGCCCTGGGCATGATGATGTGCAACGGGAACCAAACTATCGATCGCCTAACCATTGCGTATTAGGACAAGCGTTTTCGCTGCAGCCGAGGATACACAGATCTGGGAAGGCATCTGCATCGTCGGTCCATTGCGATAACCATGAGGCGCGCTGTGCGAAGTCGCCTTCCTTGAAGCCACCCCCCTGCCTTTCGCACGCTCTGTGGCGAGAAGTTGCCCACACATCGGAAGGGGGGGTGCGACTTTAGAGTGGGGGCGGCGGGGGGTGGGGGGAGGGGTTGTTTATCGCGAGCCTTCGTAATGCCCTAAAAAGCCTATTTAGGTAAATACGTAGGTCCCCGCGAAATACGATGAAGGTTCTCTCAAGTAACCTATTAATAGTAAATGGGTATTCTCCGGCAACCTGTGAAACTGCAGCCTGTAGATAAGAGATTTATAGTTTACTTTCAGAGTCTACTTAGTACATAAGCTCTCAGGGAGAAACTATATTACATTATCCACAAGTATTTATATCTATATACTTTTAGTTTCAGCGAAAATATGGACTAAGTTCTTTAAACGATTTATTATCTCGTCTTAAGTTTATAACCCCTGAGGTACTTAAAACCTTTTGAATTGTCTTTTCATACCTAAGATAACCAGCCTTTAAATGAGTAGTAAGGAAAAGACTCCTATAAGAAGAGAGAAAGTCTAGATAAGAATCTCTTTCCTCTATAGTACCATGCTAAGCAATGAGTATCACTTTTACCACCCTAGTAAATATGAGTATAGTTCCAGCTTACCACACCCTAAGTTAAGGTGCCTAGTAGGTCATTAATCCCGAGGTTCTACGAAGCCGAGTAGTCCCTGTGCTATAGTTAACTGTCATTAGCGCCGACGTGGCATTTCGTATCAAGGAGTTCTCGGGACGCCTGCGGCAGTGAGGCCGCGAAATACGTCGTTACAGCTCACGCGCTTGTTTGCAATATACGAGCGGACAGGCGACTCGATGAGCAGCACCAACCGGGCATGACGCTGCTGCCGGTACCAGACGCCATGTTGATGAACGCGGGGGAGAACGGTCCGATAGCCCATAGGACGGGCTGGGGAAAGTACCTCACATCGACCAACGGATTCGTCAAAGATCTGCTTACACCCTGATGCGGTGTGCCGAGCCCTATCATGCGGCGCGTCTACGTCCCTGTTTCCTACCAAGCTGTCAGCGTGTCAGGTTCGACTGTTAGCGACGACCATGGATCGCAGGATTGCTCGGAGCGAGCCGAAGCCTAGAGAGTAACCCGATTGAGCCTGCTCCGGCTAAACAGAATCGCAGTGTCTTCGTCCCGTTGGACCAATTCGAGTCTTCAGTGTGTGGAGCACTGCCGAGTGGATTCTGTGGGGAGCTATGCGCATGTGCGAGTTAATGTATTCTCCGCACGCTCGTGCCCTGGTTTATTGCGCCCTCTTCTGTTCATCTCGATGGACACTCCGCCATTGCCTCTTCCAGTAGGTCGGAGCCTTTTTGTCATCACGTGAAGCGCCACAGATGAGGGACAACCGCGAGGGCCATTTGCTTTGATGAGTACCGGATGGCCCGGGCTTCGTAGCTTTCACAGCATTCGCGGTACGCTAAATGAAGGCTTGAGCGCCCCCTCTACTGGAGAACCTCCACTAATGTAGGTACCCTACCTGAGAGGATGGATGGAATCGCCATCTTGCTCCCCCAGACTTGTGATCGTGGAGTCAGAACTGTCAGAATGCCAGATCGCGCTCTAGGCTTTCCTATCCCCTGATCTTTTGCCCCATTTGACTGCGCAAGACCTAGCAGGGCTACCACGTCGTCCGTCTGTAGGGCCGACCGCTGGGAGCTTCGGCGCCCGAAGAACGACCGAACATGTGCTGAAGGGCAGAATATTACAGCAGATCTGGCCTCAATCCAATGCAGTCGACCGGCCGAACGCCCTGTCTGTGGCGCTTCTACTCCATGATTGCTGCCTCTGACGATTTGAGAGGTCTCGTGACGTAGAATTTCGGCCTGACGACTGCCATGGTGTTGTCGACTTGGTGTTTGCGCGATTATTGCTTACGCGCCCGTTTTTGGTGGCGATGGCTGGGAGGAGGGCGGCTTGGATGGTAACGAGAAGCAAGGTGACGCCATGACCTCGAGTCTGCGTCAAAAAAATTGCTGGTCTCCGGCTCAAGTTGGTGCCTGTCGATCGTCTTCAATACAACGGCTCACTGGTGGTCTCCAAGGCTGTGCTATGGCTTGGATCCGGGTACTAGGCCCGTCTTATGATTAAGGGGTACGGAAATCAGGCCAGTCACAGCCCCCCTTCCTTTGAACGTTCAAGACATTGGCGACGCACAGCCGAGCACGCAACGACATGCTGGAAAGTTGGAAGGAAAAAGCAAGGATGTGCTAAGCAACGATTTTAAAACTAAGCGATAATCGCGGCTACTGTTCAATATTGAGAGACGGTCGTGGCTGACGCTCTATCTATGGCGCACCATGTTGGTCTGGCCTGGTCGCCTGGTTGACTTTTTGAATACGTGTCAGACCTCACATCAATGAAATACTAATTAACGCAAGGAGATTCTTTTTTTTTTGTTTTACAAGGTACCAGCCCCAGAAAGCATACAATCGACAAGGCGGCATGCGTCGGAGTTCTCAGGTTTCGTTCCTCAACACCGTCGGTAGCGCCCGTCACAACGCGCTATCCCCAGTGACTCCATAACACTGGCTATCATGAAGAATATCTAAAAGTAGAAATCAATAACAAACACCAGCTTTTGTAGACAGATGTTCAGAATGTCATGACAGCGATTTGTCATTGATCTTGGCTATCTGACCCCTTCCGACTGGAGACTAATTTCGTTGATGAGTTGTTTATCTGACATATGTTGCAGCAACTGCCAATCTGTCGCATGGAAGTTGAGTTGGCTGAGCTCGCTTTCTCTGGAGCCTTGGTAGGAAGAAAGCATCGGGCTTGACTGCAGCGGCGCTGATGAAGATATTAACCGCACTGACATACACAGTCCCACCTACGATGGATCTGGCTATCTCAGATTAATTCCTTGGCCTCTAACCAAGGCAACTCTCAAGCTAAGGAGCATTGACAGTTGTCGATATACAGCACTGTACTGTCGAGTTTCCATCTTCTTTCACTGTGCTGGATGACAGAGTCCGCATAGATGCTTTACCCTGGCTCCATACTGCCCAGAATCTGGGCCATTCATTCGTCATGGCTTTCGTATGTTAATCGCCAATGGCACGACATGAAGTCCGCCATGCTATATAAACGACGAGCCGAACTATCAGGAGAAATCTGCTGAACCACGGTGCAGGTGACTGGCTAGGTTAGGCACTACAAGAGCGCGTGCATTATGGCTACGAAGGGCTCTCCTGAATACAGAGGCTCGGAATGCCAAATTTTCTTATCCTACACCTCCTTAGTAGCTGCAAATACTACGTACGAAAGACCTGTTTGCTCGGCTCATTGCCACGCTTTGACACGGATATAACTCTTTGGAGAGAACTATAGGAAGACTGCCGATCCCAGATGTGCATTATGATACGAAATGGCTGCCTTGAGACATGTCATAGAGAGCCCATGTTGGGGTCCTTGGGACCTCGTATTTCACAGGTTCACCCTGGCGCTGTAACCAATTTAAGAAATCACCTCATATCAACATTACCAATGATGGCGGGAATAGAGAGGCAGGCTTTATTACATCAAGTATGTAGCTGATGTAGTCAACCGGAGCCAGCATTTTGACAAAACTTCCAAGTCTCTTTTTGGTTGAAAGTTCGGAAACCCAGCGCATGGGTAGTCGTAAAAGTTCATAGACTGGAACAAGCATATTATTAGCTACTAGATCGTGTGATCAAGTTTTGAAATGGGTTTCCTAGGCACCACCATGCGACTATTGGCTTGCGGTCGTGACTCGTGACACTGCTGCGGGCCTGATGTCGGACTGCAAAGGGCACATATATTTGGCCTTGAACATAGCCATCATATGATGCCTTTACGATCATGATTCAAGCATTCTTTCTCGACTGACGTAAATGAGTGTACTGGAATGAAGATTGCGAGAGGATCCATTTTTGCGCATCCCACGCAAGCTTGGAAGCCCAATTCTCACTAGCAGACGCTCTTCCGGGTCGGCCCTCAATTCCTCAACGCATTGGTTTAGAGAATGTTTCTCTCGGCTTCCGACCCAGTTCCTTATCGGAAGAGTGGATCAGTTCGTGGGGATTTCACCGTCGTAGCTCTCGTCGCTGGTCACTACCCCGCGCGAGTATCTAGGATGTGATCGGCATGACGTCTTTTTTCAAGACGCGCCACCCAGTCCCTATGAACCAGTGCAACCATAACAACACTGTTCACAATCTCCCCTCCAGTACCACATGCTAGGCGAAGAAAATCAAGACTCATCTGCAAACACCAAGATGGACGTCAAACACGATCGGTCGAGTCGAGACGTCGGCCACAGGGGATCTGTCATATCGGCGACTAAGTCGACGAAGAACGGACTCGAAGAAGCCCCGAATACCGCTGCCGACTGGGAAACTTTGCCCTTAGACGAATTGGCAGAAAAGGCATTACTAAGAAAGCTTGACCGTTGGATTGTCCCTCCGGTCATGCTTCTATACCTTCTCAGTTTCTTGGATCGTGTCAACATTGGGAATGCTCGGTTGTACGGTCTGGAGGAAGACCTGGGTCTAGAGGGAAACCAGTTCCAGATTGCTGTTTCTGTCCTCTTCGTTACTTACATTTTGTCCGAAACACCTTCAAACCTCGTCATCAAGTACTTCACGCCGAGTCGCTACCTTGCCTTTTTGACGGTAAGCTGGGGCATAGTGGCCACCTTGACCGGCATTGTTCAAAATTATGCTGGCTTGCTAGCATGCCGCGTAATCCTGGGTGCCCTTGAGGGTGGTCTATTTCCAGGTAATACATTACGACACTATCGACTCTAAGAATCTTATGCTGATGACGCAGCTCGAAGGCCTGACCATCTACTTGACCATGTTTTACACCAAGCGCGAGTACGCTCTCAGGATCGGCTATCTCTTTGTCTCCGCCGCTATCGCCGGATCAATGGGTGGCCTGCTTGCCTACTGCATCGGCCTGATGGATGGTGTTGCCGGTCTGCGTGCTTGGCGTTGGATCATCATCATTGAGGGCATCCCCACTGTCATCCTGGGCGTCACAATATGGTGGTGGCTCGCAGACACACCAGATACCGCCCACTACCTGTCGAGCGCAGAAAAGGATCTCATTGATGCGCGCCTGCGGCGGCAAGTCGGTCACACAAAATCCGGGGATGAGTTCCACAAAGAGGATGCCATCGCTGGGTTCAAGGACCTCAAGATCTGGCTCTTCTGTCTCGGACAGTTTGGTGGTGACGTGATCCTTTACGGGTGAGTATTGTTCAGGATTGGGACTCTACAACCTGTTGAATCCGAGCTGACCTGACCGGTAGGTATTCAACATTCTTGCCTACGATCATCAGCGGTCTTGGTGATTGGGACAGGCAGCAAGTTCAGGCTCTTACAATTCCTTGCTACGCCACTGGTGCCATCACCTACCCCCTTGTGGCGTGGCTGTCAGACCGCATGCAGAGACGAGCCATGTTTGCTGTCGTTTCCGGGCTCGTTTGTACTGTGGGGTATGCTATTCTTGTCAGCAACGCATCCGGAGGTGCAAAGTATTTCGGCTGCTTCCTCGGCGCCATGGGCCTCTACGTTGTTGTTGGCATCCCGCTCGCCTGGCTGCCTTCGAACAATCCCCGATACGAAAAGCGTACAGTTGCCTCTGGGCTACAGCTCACGATTGGAAACTCAGCCGGCATACCAGCTCCGTTTGTAAGATCCTCCTATGAGATACGGACCATAGTGTGGAACTTTGGGCGAGATCGTTCGCTGACCGGGTTTTCTCGCAGCTGTATGCCACTTCTGATTCACCCCGATTCATCAAAGGTCACGCCATCAGCATGGCATTCGTTTGCATGTCATCGGTTATATACATGTCATTCTGGGCATACTTCAAGTTCCTCAACAAGAAGCGTGATGAGGGGAAGGAAGACGAGAAAGTAAGAGGCAAAACGGAAGAGGAAATCCGGGAGATGGGGGAATACAATCCCAGGTTCCGGTACACATACTAAACGTGGTCCTCAAGTTTGCTGGGTTCCAGTCAGCCTCAACTGGTTCAGTCAATGACTTAGCGAGACGTTTCATGACCATCGGCTCTGCAGATAACCTCTATGTGGCGTCGGAAACGCAGCAATACCAAAGCTGGATGCTACCACTGAAAGGCCACAAAATTCCAAGACATATAAATGGAATGTCTATTGCAATCTCGATGCAAAACATACAGCTTGAACGTTGAGACGCGAATCGTGATTGCTGCCTGCTTGCTTAGGCTAAGCCTACACGAATACTCTAGAGCTTTTGCGAAATCAGTCATTTCAACCCATTTCTATAAGTTCGTACCCAGAAAACCGGTCAACCTATCCCCAGAACAACTACTTGATCCAATCACGATCGATGGAGCTTGACAGGGAGGTATTAAAAGGCGCATAAGCATATCACGCCCCTCAGACCAAAACTGAAGGCATAGACAAAAATTCTTCAGTCAGAGCAGATAATCTCCGTCATGTGCGTTGTCAAACCCCACAGGTCATGGCTTTTACCCCACACAACCCTCGGCCCACGATCCCTCCCCAGACGACCTAGTGCAACTCATGCAACTGCCCCTTGTGATGTCCACCCTCCAACCCCATCTCGTACACGGCAGACTGCTGGGTACCGCGTGGCCCTGCGGCCGCATATGGCTGGCTCATTTGATTGATGTCCTGTTGCTGCTGAAGCCCCTGGTGGCCCTCGTACCCGGGCGATACAGGCGCTGCATACCCTGAGAGCACCGGAGAGACGAATCCGCTCTTGTTCTCGGCGCCGGCGTAGCCGTCGCCCTGGGGTGGTGGGCTGGGATAGCCCTGCTGCTGGTACTGCTGCATGGGCGACGTGGGGCCGTGGTCTGCTGCTGCTGCTGATGCCGGCGCAACGTCGGTCGCTGACGAGGAGCGGCGGCGCACAAGGAAGACGCCGAGGACCAGGAGGACAATGACGGCGACGCCGCCCACTGTTCCGCCGACGATTGCGCCGACGGGCGTGCTGTTTCGCTTCTCTGGGGCTGGGGCGGAGGTGGTCGGGTCTGGGCTTGACGTCAAGGTGGGCGTGGATCGATCAGAGGTTTGCGATGGAGATGCGGTTGTGGTGTCGCGAGAAGTGCTTTCAGGATCCGTTGAGAGGGTTTGTGTCTCGAACTGGCGGTCCGTCTGATCGCTGTAGGTGTATTCGACACTCTGAATTGCTGCCACAGGCGTCGGGGCGCACTTGTAGTCTCGGACCCCGCCAGGGAAGGCATATGTGCGGCAATATGGTGCCGAAGCCTCCGTGCTGTAGTATCGCGGCCGTGGTCAGTAGGTCGGCTTAGTTATTGATTGGCATGGTGGATATTCTTGCTTACCAACGAAGATAAAACGAGTTGCTTTGGCAAACGTCATTACAGACCGCCGTATCAGTGGCGGATTCCATCTCCAAACATGTTAATCTTGCAGCATCCGTTGCAACTCCACAGAAAATAGCTTTGATGTCATTTGGCTCCCAGCTACAAGGATTACCATTGTCACAGGTGATGGCATTCCCTGGAGAGCCTGAGAGAAAGCCGCAAGTGGCGTCTGGAGCAGCTGTTATGGTGAACTCGGAGGCCGCGGTCACTGCCTGGCGTCTGTTCGCTCCGCGAACATGACTTGGTGCGACATGTGCCTTTCTGACCTCTTCGTATGCAGATGTGATGACTGGGGGGGCCGACCGAGCAGTTGCAATTGCGATGAGTCCAGCCAGAGCGATGATTGCACTCGACCGGAAGATTTTAATCGACATGACAACGATTATGGTGTTTACGACTTGGTCAGAAGGTGTGGATGCTGGGCAAGCGTGGCCCCGGGCGAAGGAGGCGGTCTTAATAAAATGAAGGTCAAAGTCAGGTTCCTGTCGTTCTGGTCTCATGATCCTTGTTCAGAGACAACACGAGCAGCCCTGAGACCTGGCGCCGCTGAGGCGAACCGCTATCTAACGCATCGTGAGTGCGATTGGAGATGCTTTTTCGGTGGCTTGCAGCAGCTGAATCGACCGTCAGCACTGGTTGAGTGGCCGGAGAGTTGATCATGGGCGCCGGCGTGAGCTAGTCGTACGAGCTCGATCTAGAATCCTCGTAGACTCAAACTTTCATGAACTTTCCACAGACGACCAGCAATGTCTGTGAGATTCGAAACTTCGCCTTCGCGTGCAAACAACTCTCTCAAAAAACCTGGGCAAATAAGCCACGTTGAACACCGTCTGACGGATTGGGGTATTCACCAATACGACTCTATCGTATTGGGAGGCCCATGGTTGACTGAAATCATTATTACAGGTATGGAAGGCGGGAACTTGCCCGAGATGAAGTTGACAATATTGGGGGGAAAGATCCTTTTCTGTCATTCTGCCCAGGGCAAAGCGGGACCGAGCAAAGAAAAGCAAGTGTCTACCGAAAATGTGCGGCTGACGGTCGCACAATGTTTGACTCCAATGGAAGGAAGGCGGAGACCAGCCCATGCATGTGGTGAGTGTGAGCTCAAGTGTTCTTATATACCACCAATCTTTCCGCAGTTTAACTCTCAGGGGTTTGTTTAGTCGACCAAAGTCAAACCTGGGGCGCTCTACGCCTAAAAGACTTGGGCTCATCACGGCCAGACACCTACGGCGTATCGCATCACTCCCATCGATCAACGGATTTGCACTGTAGGCTATCGGTCCTCAAAAACGAACATTTAGTACTGAAAGTCTTCAGTGACTTCATTTCGATTGGTGGACATTGATGCTTCGAGGTGGTCTGAAAGCCACTGTGGCTCTGTCTGCCGTCATGCAGTTCTCAGGTTTGCAAAACAATTTTTATATCTAACAGATGCATGGTTGACCGAGTTATACAAATTGAGGCTTTCTTAGCCGACTTTCTTAGAGATCATAGAGTCTCAGCTTGCGAAGCGACTCAACAACCACCACCATCACCACCTCCGCCTCCACCACCTCCACCACCGTCGCCGCCTGAACTCCCACCACCTCCATCGCCGCCATAGGAACCGCCTCCCCCATAACCGTAATTGTCCGAACGATAGCGTTTCGGACTATGCCTGGTGTAGGCAGGACCTGTGTACTTGGCAGATGTCCTGTTGTACGACCATTCCGTGACTGCGCTGTTTGTGTTCGCCGGCCCACCATGAACAGCGTTGTGCTTGGTGAGTACCGCAGGGGTCAGGTCGCGATTCAAGACGTTGAAGGTTTGCTCGACGGGGGCAGGGGCCTGCTTCTTGCGACGGAAGGAAGGGAGGCACATGGTGTTAGGCCTTGGCTTGGGTGCACCGGGTTATTGGGTTGGCTTTCGTGGCGGCGCCCTGGCGGTGATGAGGCTGATTATCCCCAGAGGATGAGCACGTGGTTCGTCTCCGACGTGACGTGAATGATGAGTTCAGGGTGCGAGTTGCTCGATGCTAATGACAATGCTGGACGACGTTGAAAAGAAAGATGGCAATATTGATGGTGGTGGAGAGCATAATGAGGTCTCAAGTGGCTACCTTTTGTATCTACGTTGTTCCCCATGGTCTGCTCCTGCAATCCGCCTCGTGTCCATGGTGTTTCTCAGCAAGGCATTTTCGACATGGCTTGCCAATGCCGGCAGAGCGGCATCTTCAACGCCTCATTGAACAGATTTAGTGCCGCATCAGAATCCATTGTGGCTTGCCAAGCATAGCGAAGAAGGTGCACTCTGGACGGTCTGCTATCCTTCGAGAAGTTCTATTGTAGCAGCTCCTTGATCACTTGACCACCGAAATGAAGGCGGCATTGGTGGTTCGTGTCAGCCGCAGGCGAGATCCGACGCTGTAGCCAGGTCACGATGGCAGCTAGGTGGATGCTGAGGTGCACTGCCGGTTTCTTGGTAAGGCCCAATGAGACCTAGAAGAGACGCTGTCTGCCTGGTTTATGGGGCGCTCTGAGCTGCGCGATATTTGGGTTCCTAAAGATCGCCAGTCGGTTTACTGAGCAGGCTGTGCTCACTACCACTTTCTTTGGCTTAGTGTGCTTCGGACAGGACAAATGTTCGGATCCGACATGGGCTTAGAGACGGTGGCTGGCGGTTCAACCTTGAATAGCCGACAGGGCAGATTCCTCACCGTCTTCCAATGGCTGGTGGGCCATCCTAGGTCGCTGGTGATAGGGGCGCGATTGTCTGCCCTGAACTATCAATTATTCATTTTGCACACTAGGTCATTGAGCCAATGGAGGACGAATGCAGCGAGGCTTCACGATTGTCAGCTGTAAGAAGCCGTGTTTTATTCGGAGGATGCTACTGCGAGTGAGCGACGATCGTTGTGTCTGGTCAGGATGAAACCAACGCTTCCATGCAAATGATCAGGCTGACTTGGCCCGTCAGAAGGACAGGCGTGGTGTCAGGTATGAGGCTAAGTGCAGGTATCTCCCTACCTTGCAATGGCCTTCAGAGCACTCATTGGGTGGGTTGCTCTAGAATCACAGGGAGGAGAGGTTGCGCATTGGAGAAGGACAACAGGCGCCAACCACTGGCAGCTCAAACAGGAAACATGATCTCGCGATGGCTCGAGCATGGGCAGCACGGCTATCGAGCACATTTCGCCTGCACTCGGTTACTCCTCTGTGTCAGTCTTGGCTTCCGAATTAAGACACACCGTCCCACGCACGTTGTTTCGAAGTCATTTTCGTCTGAGGCGTTCTTTTAAAATGGTAGTGTCTCGATGATTCCTTTCAGCATCCTCCGTCGACAGACCAGTCTCGTCACATCCCTCACCAAATGGCATCCATCAATGCCTTCACGTTTCCTTGCGACTATTCGGGTACCCAACGCTACGGCTAGGCAGTGATCAGAGGCGGCGATGTGTAACCCTGCATCCACACGACTCCAGATGAACGAAACCACAATCAAGCATCTCAACCCCGAACTGTTGCACACGTTGCCTTGCTCAGTCCAACGATTGGCCGTCTTCCGTCACTGGATTGAAGTCCGGGACCCAACGGCCAAGACGCCACGATGGATCTCGAAGCACGAATAACCCATCGGAGTGGATGATGGCACGTTAACTCGATCATCTACTTTGACAATCATGGCACACGTGGTCGGTGTCACTTGAGAGTAGCCTCTCTGTGCATGACGAAATGGGCTTCTACGATAGCTGGTATAAGCTCGCCTTTCCTCCCAAGCTTGCTGTCGCTTTCGACTCGTGTCAGCGCGCCATCAATCGCCGTGACTCAACATGTGGCCCATAGCAGTTGCGTCCGTTGCGTTGCCAGTGGCTTGCGTCGCCCTTCGGGGAACCAGTGGGCCTAGGCGTCCGCTGGCTTTTGGGCCAGACGGTAACTTTCAAATCTCCATCTTGGATGACCTTCACTATGGAGAGGGTGAGCAGGCTTTGACACCGATCGCAGACCCGCACTCTGACAATATCCAGCGGCCAGCTCGTACGGATCAGTCCAGGACGCTCTCACAACGAAGACGATCGCCAACCTCCTCGCAGATGAGCCTCAGACCGACTTCGTCATCATCAATGGCGACCTCATCTCCCGCGACAACATCTTTCTCGAGAACACAACCCACTACATCGACCAGCTCGTCGAGCCTATCCTCGACCGCAACTTGACGTGGGCCACCCTTCATGGCAACCATGACCCGGGCTACAACCGCTCTGTGGAAGCCATGCTCGCCCGCGAACAGCGCTGGCCCAATTCCCGCACCCGCTCAATGGTGCCTGACCCCCAGCGCGTCGGCGTCACCAACTATTACCTCCCCATCTATTCAGTCGAATGTCCTACGGGCTGCGGCTGCGCCCCAGCACTTCTACTTTGGTTCTTCGACTCGCGAAGTGGCTTTGAGTACCAGAAGCTCGGGCCTGATGGGAAGAGGATCGCGCGCCCCAATTGGGTTGACACCGATGTGGTTGACTGGTTCCTCGCCGAGAACCAACGCATCGTCACGAAATTCAACAAGACCATCCCCTCCCTGAGTTTCGTCCACATTCCCTTCGACGCCTTTTCTGCTGTGCAGTCCGGTCCCGGAATCGACCCGCAGCGACAGCCGGGGATCAACGACATGGTCGTCACAGGCCAGGCGATCGGGTATTGTCCCGACGGCGTCAATAACGGCACCTGCGCGTACGGCGGACAGGACATATCCTTCATGAAGGCTGTCACTTCGACGACGGGCATGCTGGGCCTATTCACTGCGCACCAACACGGTGACTCGTGGTGTTACAAGTGGACGGCGGACGCGCTTCCGGACTACCCCGTGCAGCCCGAAGGTGACGGGCTCAACATCTGCTTCGGCCAGCGGACGGGCTACGGCGGCAACGGCAACTGGGAGCGCGGGTCGCGGCAGTTGCTGCTGCGGCAGAACCAGTTGGCTCTGGGCGAGCTCGAGACATGGATCCGGCTCGAGTCTGGAGAGGTCGTTGGTGCCGTTTCGTTGAATGGGACGTATGGCCAGGATATTTATCCTGTGTCGCCCAACCGCGAGACGTTCTGTCAGGCATGTAACAAATGAACTTTTACATTGATACGTGATTTCTAGCTAGGCCACTTGAGGAGTGATAGCAAAGCAGACACTTTATTACATTGATATCATGACGTTGTAAACTGAAGAAGTCGTAACAGAGAAGAATAAAAGACTGGTGTCATTTTCACGCACATTAACCAGACGCCATAACAAGGATCTCGAGCCGAGCCGCCACCTAGTTCACACGAGAAACTGGCATCAGTAGTCGATGCCCCAAACGGCATCTTTAAAGAACTGATCGGCAGATGCGATTTCAAGGGGTTGACCATCTCCGCCAGCACCCCCAACCGTGGCTGCGACACTCAAGTTCTCCATCAACGGTCCGAATTGCCTAGTTACCACTGATGTTGCCCTCCCAGTCTTGTCACTGTCCGTCTCCGATCCAAAGTAACCAGAATCCTTTCGTGAATTTAGCTCAACGAACTCTTCATTGGTGGGTTTTGGAATTGAAAAAATATCAAGGCTCTCCATCGACGAAGTCGAGCCCCTCGAGTCCCCGACTGTGCCGTGTCGGTCATTATCGCCATTGGGGGCACGGAGACCTGCCATGGGTGTCTCAGGTGCTGTTGGTTGGTACCGCGCCAGAATCTGGTATTTGTCTAATGCACGACAAAACAATGTCAGGGAGGCTGCCAAAGGCGGTATGATCTTGCTGGCAGTGGCTGTATGTGGAAGAGAGAGAGACTGACACATGCTCCGTGAAATGTCACGCCCTGGCCATAGAGCTTGACAGACAACCAAGTACTGTGTTATGAAATTGCAACGCTTCTGACGTGCCTTGCGGAAATCGACCCGAGTGAAGTTGTCATCCTGCTCCCAAGTCATAATCTGGGGGTGAAATCCAGATCGCACCCGCTTTTCACATGGCTCTTTCTCTTTCGTATTACAGCTCTCTTGATTTTGTGACTCGATTCTCTCACCGCAGTCTGGGCAATTGAAACGGCGGCTGTGATGACGTTTAATGTGCTCACTACTCCTTGGTTAGTATACGGTTTCTGATTCTGTGCTGTGTATCCATCCGGAATGATTACTTCAACTTCCCTATGCCCTTGAAGGCTGTCTGCACGCACGAGCTTCCCATTGCTTGTTCTTCCGATAAGTAACGCTGCGGGTCGAAAGCAACAAACGGGCAAAGGAAGACTTCGGCGGTGGGTGGGGACACCGGCGGGTGAACCATCGGCGCTGCGACTCCAGGGCGGGGGAGCAGCCGGGGAGCACGCCTGCCCCCGGGGTGTCCATGGGCATCAGCCATGGCTAGTTGGGTTATTATCTTCCGACTTCTCACGTCGAAGCGAGTCTCGGAAGTAGTTTTCAACGAATGGACCTTGCGATTATCTCACAGATCCTGCGACAGTTCTCCTCGCGTGTCTGTAATCGCTTCCAGCCACTGGCTTCCAGTGCGGTATCTAAGAACAGTAATTCGGTGACAGCGGAGGACTGTTGGGTGAGGAGCCAGCTCCCGAGCATGAACGAACGGGCGGGCGGCTTGGTGCTGCCAATGTTTGTTGGTTCGCTGTTGTCTTATTAGTGACCGGCCGGGCAGCCGGCCGGCTCAGCTAGCATTGAAGGAGGAGGTACCTCGACGGTAGAGAGGTGCACTTACTCTACACCACAGTCGCTCATGGCAAGCAGAGAAAGGCCGAATCAGTCAGCGGTAGATTTAAATATGTTTGATTCTGAGACGGACGGGAATTAAGAAGGAAGATGGCCCAGCAGCATGAGTACGCTGAGTTGGCAAAATTTATAGTACCGACCTTGTGCCCAAACTTGCGGTGCGATTTCCTAACCTGCCCCTACTGGCTCGTTGTTGATGCGGTGATGCTGTCTGCCTGGGGTGCCCTCTAGTATAAGGCGCAGGAGAGACGATCCGGGCCTATTGTCGCGTGGAGCTGCCTTTCTCTCTGTCCCCAACGAACTGGCTCCCTCAAACGAACTGGTACTATCTCTTCTACGTTGGGTTGTCTTGAACCATGAGTAAGATCGCACACGCCCAGGTTGTGATGCTACCTATGCATAGTTTACCGAGCGTTGCTGATCAGAATAGCTGGCCCAACCGTACGGAACAAGGCCTGTCACGATGTCACACTCGTCTGTCCACTTGGTTTCACGGTCGAATTCTATGCTTGGTAGGCAATGCAAAAGCTCGACAATTCTTCATTTTCTCATTATCTTCCTTTCGGTCCTACACGAATGGCTCTGCGTCTTGGTTCTCAGCCAGGTCTGCAAGGTGGGTGAAGGTGCGAAAGAGGTAATGCCATTCTGCGTCCGTGTAGCTCTCTGGTCCATTGTCGATCAAGTCATTGTTGACAGGTTCGTCTTCCATGATCTGTTCGTCATCTAGATCCTGCGGATACTCGGTATTCATGCTCTCAATCGCCGTCGCCGAGTTCAAAATCGAGTCGTCGCTGAATTTACTCCCAACCCCTGACGTAAACGCGTTCATGTATGCACCGCCTTGCTGCAGGTGTTGTTGGCCTGACTGCAGCTCTGAGCGCGATGTGGCCAGCTTCCTCATGCCCCTCGTGTTTCCTTCACTACTACCGTAGCCAGAGTCCAACAAAGCACGTCTCTGGATACTACTTTCTGGAGGCTGATAGACGTGTTGTCGAAGCAGGGCTGGTAAAGAAGATGGCGCTGTCGGTCTCACGCCGGCCAGTGTTTGGCGCTCATTCCAGCGATCCATGGGTATCGACAGGGCCAGACGGGGCTCTGGTTTATCGCCCTTCAGCGGCCAAATGGATCGGCGGATGATTTCGACCTCAGTCCCCAAACTCAGGCCAGCCCTCGCTACATATCTTTGTCCGCCCCAGACGAACTTGTTGCGGAAGTCCACGCCGGAATATCGTTTGTACTGTTCAGTAGTCATAATGTACGGGTGAAAGGATGTGACGGGTGCCCCGTTCTTCTGGCACACGTGCCCGATGCTATGGGCCTCGATAAAGTCAGTAGGATCTCGGCCCGCGCAACGAGCTTGACACTTCACACAGTTATAAATTGGCGAGTGGCATCTCTTCAGGTGATCGCTGCATCTATTGTCAGTCGATTTCCGCACATGCTGCCAGGCGAACCACCAACCGCAAAGGTCCTATCTTGGAGAAAGGTTGCTTGCATGCCTTAAAAGGCTGGGTTGTAGCCATGTCATAGAGCTCTCGGAACTCGTCTGCGAATATGCAGCCGTACCATTCACGCGCCATGGCGTGAAGATTGCCGGCGGGACACTTCCTGTGGTGGAGGTACTGTAACCCCGCCACGTCCGTCTGAAAAGGGCTGACCCTGTATTGTTGATCGGGTCAGGAACCAGGTCGATAGTCGCGCTCCGCAAGAGTTGACCCTCGATTCGGTGAACCCTAGCCTCGGCTGATGACACTGTTGAAGCTCTCAATTATCTCTCTCGACTTGTCGCAGTATTTCTGCTTCTGGGGACACTCTTCCGCCTTGTTGTATCCAACTGCGAGTCGATCATTTACGCACAGCGACTCCTTTGGTATCTTCAGCCAACTGCCCAGCATGAACGAGCTGACACGCGGTATCGCGACCTCCTCTGTATACGAAACGTTACTGAAGAGATCTCAGTTCCTTTTTTCGCGTATTGATACCTTGTTCGGTCTTACACCGTACCATTCCCCCCGTACATCTGTGTAAGGCAAGGACGAGAGTGATGGTTCGCAAATGCCTGACTTGGCGACACTCAGCGGTAGAGAATCAATGGAGCGAGTGAAGAAGACGATGAATGAAAGTCAGGGTGAAGATTGAGAGGCGAGAGCAAATTCCGGCGCTTTTAAGTCCATTTTCCACCGACTCTCCCCGCCCGCCTCTGTTCAGTGCGAGTTCTGAAGCACGAGCACAGAGATCGTGAGGGACACATTACGAATGGTGTTCCATGCCCGCCCTCCATATCGCAGGAGCTTCACACCAAATCGCCGCCCAATTGACTTCCTCCTCGGCCCAAAAGCACATGCGCCCCCTCGTTTCTCCCAGGGTGAAAGAAGGTACCTGATGCGTGAAGCAGATGTACCCAGACTGAACCGATGCCCGGGAGGCTGCTCACGAGGCATCTCCCATGCCCATCATGGAAGCCATTCTAACTCCCTCCATGCCGCCCAGCTGTGATGATTGGCGTTGGGACGCAACCCGACGTCGAGCAGTCCGGCGCCTCGCCGCTGACCGCTCTCTGGATTACCACTCGACTCCGATCAAGGCGACCGACGATCCATGGTACATTTGAGCCTGAAGGCTAGCCTCTACACATCCACGGCCATTGGGAGCGTGTACAGATACATCAGATCACTGGAAGGTATCGTGAAAGTCGTCGTTTCGTTTCAGGTTATCTCAGATACGTCGCGGCCAGATCTTGTGCCGCCGTACCACATGTACCACTCACTCAGCAATAGATGAGACATAATATGCACAGCGTCTGGCCTGTGGCTCGTTCGCCCGCTCGCCCGCTCGCCCATTCCCCTGCCCTGCCCTGCCCTGCCCTGCCACGCTCCCTACTCGCGATGCACAGCGCTCTTCTCCTGGTGGCCCATCTCCTCATCGCCCAGCACCCTCTCGCGCCCCGCCCCGCCAATGGTCTCCATACCGGCGACCTCGCGCGCATCATCGTCGTCCTCGACGTCAAAGCTCCGGCGCAGGCGCTCGGGGCCCAAGATGGTCAGCACAATGACATAGGCGAAGACGCAGCCCATGAAGATGCAAATGACGCGACCGTAGTCGTAGCGCGTCTCGCCCTTGGCCGTGGGCGCCAGGGGGAAGTTCTCGCCGAGGCGCGACTCGATGGTCGAGCTCGCGCTCGAGGCGAGGTTGCCGAGCTGGTAGGCCGTGCCGACGACAAAGGTCCGGAAGGCGCCGGGGCTGAGCTCCATGAGGTGGATGGGGATGACACCCCAGGCGCCCTGGACCGCGAACTGCATGAAGAAAGCGGCGGCCATGACGCGCGAGTTCGAGACAAAGGTGTAGGGGTACAGCATGGCGCCGCCCATGACGCAGCAGCAGAGGATGCTGAAGCGGCGGCCGAAGATCTGCGAGCAGTAGCCGACGGTGCTGCCACCGAGCATGGCGCCGAGATTGGCCACGACCTGGGTGACGGTGACGAGGTTCGCCGAGAATTCAAACTGATTCTTGAGCATGGTCGGGTACAGGTCCTGCGAGCCGTGGGACATGAAATTGAAGCCGGCCATGAGGAGGACGAGATAGCTGAGGACCTTCCAGTGACGGACCAGCGCGACCTTGCCCTCCTGGAGGAAGGTCGACGTGACGGACCGCTGCGGGGAGCCGTCAGCGCTGGCTGTGGTCTCGTGCTGGTGGGCGGCGTGCTCGCGCAGGCGCTTGTGGGCGAGGAACGTCTGCGTCTCGGGCAGCATGAGTCGCCAGATGATGAAGAGGACGGGCGGGCAGGCTCCGAACCAGAAGAGCGGGCGCCAACCGTGGGGCGTCGTGTCGACGAGGCCCCTGGCAAACGCTGTAGCGAGCAAGTATCCAAAGGCGTACTGCGTGAGCACGTACGTGTCAGTGAGGCAAACAACATTGGGCAGCAGAGGAGCGCGAACTAACACCTTGTTGCAATATGCCGCTCATGAGGCCGCGGGCCGCTTCAGGGACATCCTCCAGCGCCGTGGCAGCCGCATTACCGTAGAGGCCGCCCATGGCGACGCCAAACAGGGCACGACACACCAGGAATTGCCGATACGTCTGGCAGAAGCCGGTTCCCTACCATCGCAGGTTAGCACGAGAGTTCACCGCAGCAACGTTCGACGTCGTGATGAGGCTGATTTCTACCCCCGGTATGCGCCCCCCGGCGACAGACTAGGGCCATATTATAGGGCGATTGCGTGCAGCAAAGCCCCCCTCTCCCCACGACCCATTGTGTGCCATGTTGCGACGAACAGGCGGCCGGGGACGGGGTCCGTGTTCGCCTCTCTTGGTGCCCAACACGGCGCAGCCCAATGTATCCCATAGGCTCAATCCGCGACCAAGCGGTGTAAGGAGATGACAACTCACCAGCTCGAGAATGACGAACAGCAGGTTATTGACGACAAACGGCCACTTGCGACCGTATCGATCGGCGGCGATACCGAAGATGACAGAGCCCACAGAACGGAACATGAGCACCAGCGTGATGCCCCACGTGATGTCCGTCTTCGTCTTGCCAAACTCCTTCGCCAGTTGCGTCACGGTCAGGGAAACGGTGAAGAAGTCGAAAGCATCCCACGTCTGTCGTCGTGTTGTTGCGTCAGCTTCTATTGGTTCACGACCCGTAGGATGCCGTTTTCACCGTCACGACGAACAGCGCAACACCGTTCGAGGAAAAGGGAACATGGCAGACATACCCAGGCGGCAAAGGCCACGCCGAAGAACGCCCATTGGTGGCGGTTCAGCATTCTCACGAGACGCCAGGGGTTCGGCGCGGCCAGCATCGGCGGCTTCAAGGTGCTGAACCTGGTCGCGAGGTAGCGGCCGGCCGTCATGTCGGCGTGCGATGCCTTGGATTCGTTGACCCTGGGCTGCGGATCGGGGTCGACGCCCATATTCTCGTGTGCTGCCATGTTGCTTCTGGATCTCAACGTGCCTCGACTCACTAGGAAGGGAAAGGATCAGTCGTGGAAGCTCTGAGGCATCAAACCCTCACGAGACACAAGCCAGAGGTGGCGGCCAGCTCTGATATAGCTATCATTTCCTGGCGCGCGCCCACACGCGGGGTTCGTATTTGCCAACCCCAGAGGCATGACTCGTCGTGATGATGCAACACTGCACAGGCTGTCACTGGCAGGCGACCGTCTTTCACCGGCAGTGGGCTCTAGGAGGGTGTCGTCTGTCTGGGGCTGACGTCGACATGTCGCACCCGGCACGGAAGTGCCGAGAAAAGGCGGCCGGTGGCGGGTCCACGAAGGACGGCGCCAGCGAAAGGGCAGACACAGTAGTAAGTAGTCTCTCCTTTCGAGCCCCCTTCACCCCAGACACGGGCAGAAGAGAATAAGCTTCTCCGGGGCGCCCTGGGGTGTCCACAGCCGCCAATCGTGCTTATCGCCATTTGGCACATAATTGACTTTGCCCCTAGCAAGCGCTGGCTTTGTTCCCGCCCGTGTCGTGTCATAGGGGGGAGGGAGGGATCGGCCAGCGCTTGTCGCACCTCGGATGAGACGGCACATCAGCGGTGACAGTCTCCGCGTCCGGCATGCCAAGCCGGCGCTGGGGCTTTGCCCCTTCATCGGAGTCCCGCATTGAACCCGAGTCAGGCACTGTCACCTCCACGGATGCCCCGGCCCTCCTAGCGGGGAGACGCGGGGAATAAATGGGAACTATGTTTGGAAAGTCATACTACGGACGGGCGAGGTACGGAAAAGCCCGGGGGGATGTACAGAGAGGCCTACTGTCGATAGCTCCCGCGCATACGAGAGAGCTGTGTTGCCGTTGCCAATTCTGATTCGCGCGCGGACATGCGACGAGCGTCTGCCGGATAGCAGCGAGGCCTTGCAATGGCAATGGGCTACTGGGATATCACCACCCTTAGGCAGCTTGTCATATAGGTGGCTCGTCCAGTTCATCCCCCGGAACTTTCCTGAACTAGAACTTTGTGGAACGAATATCGTGGTCGAATTATTGTCTAGCGCCGACCACCCTTGAACGAGATCCCGCGACGCGCCATCTTGATGCACACGTGTCACCCATGCAAGTTGAAAGTGCTTCTAGTGCTCTGTTCCCTGACGCCGGGATAGCCAGGCAGTGAAAGTCGCGTCTCGGAGATGATCGCCTTGTCATGAGCATGGCTCCGTTCTGTTCTCGTGAACTCGAAACTTTTCGGATGCACCTCAGTTGCATGATCGAGCTTTTTGCTGAGAGACTGGTCAGGATGCACCGGCTGGAGGGTTCAGTCAAAGGCAAGCGTCCAGCATACCCTGTCCCCGCCGGATGAGTGTTTTGACGGCAAGAGAGGAGTCTACGTGGTCCCATTTTCTGAGAATTAGAAAGGCCGCCAGGGCCTACGACAGGGATGAACGCGTAATATTCCGTTGCCTATGAGGTGTGTCATCATTCATGTGCTAGAATCACAAGGCAGACGACGCTTGACAATATTCCCCGGACCCATACTCTTCGTGGAAGCCACAGTGAAACTCCAATCTTAGCTACGGTTGCATCCATGCGACTGGTAGGACACACATTGGAATCCACATTCCCAGGCCAGGTGAGCCCCGTGACGAGGTTACTACTGGTACGCTCTCATGGCGTCCTCGTAGCCAGTTCCACCCTTGAGGTCCTGCTCAAAAGACCGTTGCACTTCTAGCACATCCTTGATATGTAGCATGCTGAGCGCCTCCATCTTGTTCGTCGCCAAAGCCTGTGCGGTGCGGATCGTATTCTTGATCTGGCGTCCGTTGAGGTCGAACTTGGTCAAGTAATCATAGTCTTCATCAGTGAAAGCAGTAGCTCCCACTTTATCGATGGTACGTGCACGCTCGATAAATATCTGGAAGATAGCGCGCTTTGCCTTCACGGAGAGCTTGTCATACCGAAGAGCAACGTGAATGCGCGACTGAAATGCATCATCGAATGTCTACGGCCGTCAGTCATGAGAAGGATGAACGACGAGGTTCATCGACATACCTCGACACGGTTTGTCGTGAGGAATAAAATGCCCTGGAAATACTCGAGTTGACGGAGGAAGATGCTGACAAGGGCGTTGCGATGGATGTCGTGCATGTTGCGCTTCTCGAGGAAAACGTCTGCTTCGTCCAGCAACAGAATCGCACCCCAGGCGTGGCAAATATCGAGGATTTTCTGAAGCTCGGTTTCCAGAAACCGCGAGTCGGTGCCTAATTCGCCAGCCGACACCATGTATAGCGGGCATTTCAGAAGCTCGCTGATGCCCTCGGCGGTTAGGGTCTTGCCAGTGCCAGGAGGTCCATGAAGAACGGCTGCAAAGCGTCAGCAAACCTACATGTCGCATCAATAGAAGGAGAGGAGTGACAGGCGCGTACCAACAAGGCCCTTTCCCTTCCCCTGAATAACGTCGTCAATACTTTCAACGCCATGATACCTGTGCGTCTCTACAAGAGCCTTGACGATCGCCTTGGGTTTTTCTTGCAGCACGAGCGAGTCGTACGCCTCTTCATTCCACTTGATATCTTTTACGCCAGAGACACTGAACTCGAGCCACATTTTCTCCCCAAAGGAGAACCCCAGAACGACGGGCGAAGCAAGTAGATACTCTTCGTCAGAGAATTCGAGCTTGGCGTCGCTAGCTGTCGCGTCCGTTGCCTGACCTGACTTGCTCTCGACGGCGTCAAGTTCTTGAATAGTGGAATGCTCCTTCACCAGTTCCTTGGGGACTCGCATGATGCGTAATTGACCGTTCTCATCTTTGTAGACCTTTCTGACATATTCGACTGTCTTGTCGCTGTCCGAATCATTGACGCAGCTCTTTTCACCTTGGTCTGACTCAGTCTCAGAAACGCAGCCACAGCCAGACTCTGCATCGTCGTCGTCAGACTCAGACTCAGACACGAGGTCATGATCCTCGACTCGGACACTCGGGACCGGATAGTTGGGGTTGCAGCGACGGTGGATGGATGGGTCGACCATTATTCGGCCATTGACGTTGATCTTGATGGTGTTCTTCTTCTTCTTGTAGTAGGCCATTCCCTCATGACACTTGTATTGAACACCGCCGAGCAGGACAAACTTTTTGCCGCGCGAGATGAGGTGCTCTCGGACCTTTTGCTCGTTCTTGTGGTACTTCAGGGGATAACAATTGAGGCTCGTGATCTTGCGAGCCCCGCGAAAGTCGCTGACCTCCTCTGCGAAACTCCCGTAGCCAAATTGCTTGCCGTCATACTCAAAGTACTACAAAGCGTGAGCGAGAATGCATGACCGCAGGCCCGAGGTATGGAGGGTGGAGGCTTACCTTGCCATCGATGTAGTAAAAGTCACCCTTTACAAAGCTGGTATGTTTCTCCGCAGCCTCTACCTTGAAGACACGGGGTTCATCCTCTGAGCCGTACGTCGCAGTGTACGCAAGGGTGTTGGGCTTCCATAGTGCCCAAAGAAGTTCAAAAGTAATGAGACCATTCTCTAGCATGGGATAGAGGCTTTTCTTGACTTGCGCATAGTCCTTGTCTAGGTATCCCAACAGGACTTTGAGGTGGCGTCTCTTTTCTTTGTCATACTTCCGGGCCTTCTGCCGGGCTCGCTTGGTTTCACCAGATGGCTCAGACGTCTTGAGTTCCTTGCTGTACGCGCGAAGATCGTCCAGGTAACTGCAGAGAATCAGATGAGGCTGCAGCGTACGAGTACAACCAACTTACAGGAATAGGAGGTTGGGATCAAGACGTGGGGTATTGTCCACCAAGCTGACACCTTTGATGTTGCCAATGACGTCCTGGAGACACTCCCGGAGAAGTTTGCTCTTGACATCGACTGTGGTTGACTTGTACTTGCCCTCAAAATCGAACACACGTCGAATCTGCAACACAAAGCCATCAAACTGGGCATCAGAGCCTCCCTCGGCAGTGGACTGAAGTTTGAAGTTGTGTATGGTGGTGTCCCAAACCTGATCGACGCGTTTGTACTCAAGTCGAGTCGGGACGCCGGATTCGGTCCTGAAGGGATGTTTCTTTTTATCATCGACGCGCCCCAGGCCAAGGGGCTTGGCATCCCACGGATTTCTGGTTGTGCGATTAGCAGAGCTGCAACCAGGAGGAGGCAGTTTTCCATGGGAAGGGCGGCCCTTCGGTACTGATGGGTTGAAGAACGCCCGTCCCGGTACAACATTTCCAGAACCTGGAGGCGCCTGGAGATTTCCTCGCGTAGAACAAGATTGGAGGGCCAGGACCTGACTGACAGCGGCCGTGATGATTTGGAGTTGACCAGCTGTGAGGTCTTGGGATACTTTGTCGTCATCGGCACTATCGCTGTCGTCGTCGTCTTGAACGTCGTTGTTGGGTTTGGTTTCGGAGTCGGATCCGGCCGAGCCCGAGGCCTCAACCTTGGTTTTGCCTCTGGCCTTCTTGCCGGCCTTTTTGGCCCTCTTTGTAAACCGCTTCCTGGCCTTGTCGTCGCTACTGTCTCTGCGCGTTCGCGCCTTGCGGGAGGTCAAGTCGTCGGAACTACTTGTTTCGTCGTCCGAAGTCGATGAATCTTCGACGGACGGGTCATCGTCCGAGTCGCTGGACGAAGAAGTGTCTTCAAGAACTGATGGTCGTTTTCCCCTTTTCTTTTTCTTCTTCTTGTGTTTCTTGGAACATTTCTTCCCATCCTTCTTGTGCTTGCCAATCACGTTTTTCTTGTCCTGGGATGGTATGGCGTCGCTCTTATGATCGGCCTTCAGCTGTGGGTGGGGTGTCGAGCCTGGTGCCACCGTTTCGGTCGTGCTGGAGGGACCAGCCAGCTCGAGGCTGCTTCTTGGCATTGCTTCCTGGGTGTCCATGCTGGCCACTGGCATCTACAGAGGACGGTGCTCAAGTCAGACTAAAGGTCTGCGGGCGTGAAACAAGGATACGAGACATGTTCTTACAGAGGAGGGAGGTGGACTAGGTACCTACCTAGGTAGGTAGGTATGTAGGTTGATGGTTGGGTTACACGGGACGGTGTGCGCTGGGTCTTGGTGCGAGGAGTAGATGAAAGACAATGGGTTTGAATTGGCAGTCAGAAGGCGAGGCTGCAGCAGTCCTTCGTCCCTTCCTTTATAAATGCGGCAACTGCCACGGCGAAGGTGTGTCACCAGGCAGGAACAACGAGCCAACAGCGAGCTGCGAGCGAACGGCGATGACATGATGTACCAAGGTAGGCAAGGTAGGTAGGTAAGGTTTGTAGGGCAGGCAGCAAATAGGCCGCAGCTGCAGCCCGCCCCATTTCTGTGTTGCTGCCGGGCATTGAAGCATTGTCCAGGTTGGAGCAGAGCCGTGGTGGTGTGAAGCGAGATGGCCGACCAACATGCAGCATTTGGCCAGTCTCTGTGAGTCTCACTCTGTGAGGGTTGTCAGCCCCTCCAATGATATGGGTATATGGGTGGATGGGGGCGACGATCGAAGCACGTTGACATGGCATGCTGATTGCTGCCTGTAGCCTGATCGAACCACTCGAGCGACCTTTGAAGCCACCCAACGGTTACGAAGCATCGTCCATCATCGAGGGAGGCAGGTAGGCAGACAAGCCACCCCACCTTGCTCTCCATCTGCCACAGTTTAGTCCGCCTTGCCGAGATCCAGATCTGTTGGCCCATCCTTTGGGTCCGCTTGGGTCGCGACCATCGACCTGAATCGCGGAATGCCAAAGGCAGAGAACTACGTCGGAGATGGATGGCGGCAGCACCATCTCTGGCCCAAGGTTGTGCCGAGGAGCAGCCGTCGCGAATCGATGGAGTGCTTGTGTAGACAAGAAGGTCTAGCCTGTGATGACCGAACCCGTGGTTTGCTCAGTTCATCCCACGTTATGCCCAGCACCAAGCTAATGCGGGACGCCTCGCAAACCGAGTGGCTCTCAGTCACCACGACCTGGGCGTGTCCCGTCTCATGGATAATGATGGACAGTCTGACGCTCGGTTCGATCCTCCATGGCTCCTCATCGTCCATGTCTTTCGGTTTCGCCTGAGATCCATATCGACTGCTCTCGCTGTATTACTGCATCGCTGCATCGCTGCATCAAGATGCGTGTGCAGCGATGCGGGTGCCGTGTGATAGAGCCGTAGCTGATTGCATTTGGCATCACAGGAGTGTTACAATCATCTGGAGGCGCCCCCGGCGAGACGAGCTGAGCGTGGGAGACGGACGCATCGCGCACACGGCCATGTTGACGACTGTTGCCCCAGCACGTCGTTCATACAGGGTCTCTCTCATCTGCAGTAGGTAGGTGCGGTGTCGAAATGAGATCTGTGACACAACAGCCAACTGAGACATGCGGTCGAACGATGTTAAGGAGAGCGTTTAGTGGGTAGGTTGGAATAAACATGGCCTTCAGGGCAACAGCATGCTGCAGCAGCGAACACGAGAGACGACAATGGTATGTCGATCCTCTGGATTCGTTGGGTTGGGGCTGGGTTAGGGTAGGATGAACGCACTCGGGTATAGATTTACTCCCCAATCGTGCACCGACGGTACCATGCGATGCCTCCTTTCGTGCACAAACACCATTCGATCTTCCCTTTCTCCATTCAGGATGCATCCTGCCCATCTACATGCCATCTCTTCTCTCGTGATCATCTTCAGACCTTCAATTGTTGACCTGATCCATCTACATGCGAGACATGGATGGCGAGCTGGGCTGGTAGCACCTGACTAACGTCGCTGGAAGCGACACCGTGGTCGGTTGGTGCGCACATGAGGTGTGAACGGCGGCGGTTGGACGGTGGCTGTCGGCATCGTGAGATTGGAATGTGGTGGTTAGGGAGGGCAGAGTGGAGAGAGACAGTGGAGGGACTAGATAGGAACGCACAGACACTCCGAGGTGATGCTACTTAGTAGCAGAAGACAGGCCAAGCACCATTGTACATTTGCCTGTAACTATGTACATGTATGTAAGGACAGTGCGTGCAAGTGCCCTTCCCGCCAACCAACCCCCCCGGGAGCTCTGCTAGGGACCCCTGTGGCTCGACGTCATGAGCGACTGATTCGGGCCAGAGCTCCTGCCTCGCCCTCAGCGCCCAGGTCGTTCCGGGCAAGCTTGTACTCAGCTGCAGTCGCGCCAGCTTGTCTCTTCTCGAACGCCGCTAAAGCGAAGCACCAACAAAATCAAGGCAGCTCAGACAACCAAAGCAGGGCAGTGCAGAAAGCTCTTTCGTGCAGATCCGGCCGAGCTGTTGGACAAAACCCCAGGCCAAGCCCTCTCGTCAAGACCTCGACTTCGCCCCTCCACCTCTCTTCCCTGACGGCCAAGCTCTGTCGCGTGTGCCAATCGCCGACAAGCTCCTTCTCTCTCCGTTTGACAAGCACGAGCAATTGCGCCTTCCCTCTCTGCGGCTGCCATTGAGCGCGTCAAGAGCACTCGGCAAGATTCTCTGCAGCTCCAGGTCCAGGTCCAGGTCCAGCACTAGCATCAGCAGCCATGCCTCGAAATAGGTCTGGCTGGGTGTCGCGTCTCCTCGGATGGGATCGTCACCCCGCCCACGGAAGCGACGAGCACTCGGACTGGCACGAAGACCGCCGACGCCGTGAGTACCAAAGCCCTACTACTATCCTGGAACCCCTTGACATTTTCCTACCTCTTGATCGCTTGTCTGGACCATGAGTACAACGAATCAGTTCTCGTTATGCTACCCCCCTGTTTCCTTTCGCACAAATACGCTTCCTCGCGCTTACAAGAGGGTCTATCACCCAAACACAGTCCTCCCTCGGTATTCTGATGAGCAGGCCGAGGCCGCCATATCGGCCCCCGATGTCACCAAAGTCGCTCTGAAGCTGCGTCACTTGATCGAGGCCGCCATTCCCTGCGAGCTCGACGAGGCCGACATCACCAAGGCCCACAGCGGCATCATCACCACCAAAGTGATCAAGGCCGCCAAGGAGGCCGGTGGTACTGAACACAGGTCATGCGTCGTCTTTGGTCTCCTGGTCTGTAAGCGGTGGTTCAAGCACCAGGCTCTTGTCGAGCTCTGGGACGCCGACATGCATCTCGTTCGCTCCACTGCTTGCGAGGTCATTGCCAAGAGAATGTGAGCTTGCCTCCCCCCCCTGCACGTCGATTTTCTCTCGCCCCAGGCATTCGCTGACTTACGACCTTAGCATCGAAGCCGAGGACGACCTCAACTACCTCCTCCACCAGGTCCTGCTGCACCGATACTCCATCATTGTGGACGGCGAGGCCACCATCGCGGCCAACGTCATCGAAAAAGCCGTCGACCTCCACGCCGTCAGCGTCATTGGCTCTTCGGGCTACCAGAAGTGCATCTCGTATCTCTGGAAGGGCTGGCTGGTCCAGGATGAGGATGATCCGACCACCTTTGTCGACTACAAGGACAAGGACAATATTGACTTTTTTGTCCACCTCGACCCGGACCGCATCCGCGTGCCCATGTTCCAGAATGCCACGCAACTCATCATCTCGATCATCTACCTCGTCTTTTACACAATCTCCGTCAACACGCCCAACCCCGGCGGCGAGCTCGACGTTGCTGAACTCTTGCTCTACGTCTTCACCGTCGGTTTCATCTGCGAGGAGTTGACCAAGTTTTGGAAGGCTGGCCGTCACATTCTCGGGTTCTGGAACGCGTTTAACGGTGTGCTCTACTCGCTGGTCACCGTTTCCTTCATCCTCCGCATGGTCGCACTCGCACACCCGCTGCGGGATGACGGCGAGAAGAACTCGAACGACGACCCGCGCCAGTACTACAATGAGCTGAGCTACAGCTTCCTCGCATTCAGTGCCCCCTTGTTCTGGTCCCGCCTCTTGCTCTACCTCGACACCTTCCGATTCTTCGGCGCCATGCTGGTCGTCCTCAAGGTCATGATGAAGGAATCCATCATCTTCTTCGCTCTGCTGGCTGTTTTGATCATTGGCTTCTTGCAGGCGTTTGTCGGACTGGATGCTGCCGAAGACATGGCTGTCGACGACTACGCGCTCATTTTCAAGGCCATGGCCAACGCCATCATGCAGAGTCCTGACATGGATGTCTTTGACGAGTTCTCGCCGCCCTTTGGCACCATTCTCTACTACTTCTTCACATTTATCGTCATGGTCATCCTGCTCAACATTCTCATTGCGCTGTACAACTCGGCGTACGAGGACATTTATCAGAACGCCAACGATGAGTTCCTCGCCTTGTTTGCGCAGAAGACGATGCAGTTTGTGCGCGCACCCGACGAGAACGTGTACATTCCGCCCTTCAACCTCGTCGAGATGGTCGTCATTGCATTGGTAGGCTGGTGGATGCCCAAGGAGCGCTTTGAGCACCTCAACGACATAGTCATGGCCGTCTTCTACTCCCCGGTCCTTCTGATCGCGGCCTACGCCGAAACGCGCACGGCCAAGGAGATCCAGCGCAACCGCTCCAACGGTGAGGAGGACGACGACGTGGTGGAGGAGTGGGAGCAGATGGCGGGCGAGCTGGACTTTGAGGCCGACGGCTGGGACAAGATTTGCGACAGTGCCAAGTCGAACGTGGAGGTGGAGCCCGCCGTGCAGGAGGTGAGGAAGCTGAAGGAGGAGATTGACGAGCTGAAGAAGCTCATTCTCGAGATCTCAAAGGCTGTGGGCGCCGGCAAGGGCAGCACGGCGACCGACCTCGTCTCTTTCGATGGCGAGGGCGCAAAGGAGGATGGCGCGCAGAAGGCCAAGGACGGTGCCGCGCCCGGCAGCTCGAGCGAAGTCGAGTGAGATGCGCATTGCGAGGTCGTTCGCCCGGAATTGTTCCCTGGTGAGGGCGGTTCCCTGGTGAGGGCGCACGTAGATGGTCACACTTCTCGGGTGAAGAACTACCTGTGTTTGCGTTTTGTAGTTACGAATGATACGATTACGACTGAATTGATAGTCACGATGCGGACAAGGCGGTTTTGAAAATTGTCTTCCACGCTGATTGGAATGCCGGCAGACGCCCATTCGGCAGAGGCATCAGCCATCTATGCGCAACGCCCTGGCAAGGTAGATATGTGGCCAAGGGCCTTGTTTGCTGTTGTGCCTTGGCGCTGTGTGATGTGTTGTCATGAGCGTCAGCGCAATTGAGAGCATTGGTGGGCGATTGAGAGCCATGGGCTGATTCGTGAGGGCCAGGCAGAGTTGTTGAGGCGGGTGCAGATGCGATTCGGCCACCACTGACAGGACTCTATGCTGGCCGAGAGCCTGAGGTTGGTATTCCCTTCATGCCGAACTTCAACCTTAGTATTTCACATGATCGACAGCCTAGCGGCAGAACATCGTTGTCGCCAATTGAATCAGATGATATCACAAACAGTACATCTGCATGCCTGTACGTGTACGTACTTGATTTTCAACTGACGTATCCGCTACAACTATGTACTGAAGGAGTAGCTATCTAGATCCACATCAGAGCTATTCAGGTAGGCGGTGGTCGGTTTACGTGCTGAGGTTTACTCCGAGGGGATGCGCCGTGGGGATCACGCTGTACGCGTAGTGACACTGCAAAGTACGAACCGTCTGGCCGAGGACACCATCGGCACGTGATTCCGTCACTGGGCACAAGGCAGGCAAGGCAGGCGAGGCAGGCGAGGCAGGCGAGGCAGGCAAGGCAGGCAAGGCAGGGCAGGTTTCTGGGGAGACCACAAGCGGCTAGCGTCAGGCTACCGACCACACGGGTCCACCCTCTCGTGGGTCCGCTCGAGCTGGCAATTTTCCTTCAACCCTTTGATTTTTTCGGACACCCGTCGCCCTTCGCCAGCCTTGACGCTTCACCACCACGTCACCAGCCCACCATCACACTACCTTGCCTTGTGCATCAACAACGAATCAACCCACCTACGACTGCTGCCACCAGCCAGCAAAAACAATCCAAACACGCAACGACTCTCCCGTTCTACCAACAACCCTCTTGTTCGATCTCAGCCATCGTTTAGCAAGCCACCTATACCCGTCTGCCCCCTGCAAAAAAGCTCTACCTCTCCCTACGGTATAGCTACGTCCGCATCCGACCTGTCGCGACTTGCATCTGTCCCTGCATTCCTGTTCGCCTCGCTCCCCCCCCCCCAACGTGGCTTCAGGTTACCTGCCCGAACCAACCCTATCCCGCCATCGCGTCGTCAAGCATCGTTCTGCCTGCCATCGCGACGTCTTTGAAGATTTGATTTCGATTTTTGATTCCCCAAAACCGACATCACAATCATGCCTCTTCCTTCGAGTTTCGCCTCCGCCGCTGCAGGCCAAAATGCCAACCGTGACGCGAGAGCCGGTCGTGGTGATGGACGTGGAGGTGCCGGAGGTGACTGGTAGGTCTATCCTTTTTTTTTTTTTTTTTTAATCCTGAATGGAGATGCTGTCTGAACGAGGTGCTGTCGTTTTTTCACCTGCTGCTGTGCTTCGCTCGAGGATGGGGCGGCGACTCCACCCCCTTGGGTCAAATTTGAAGCATCATGCAATTCACCACAACCCCCTTGTCTCCATCTACCCATCCCATCGCGATCCCACAATCTTTGCACGCGCACACCTTCTACGACGTCAATTGACACTTCTTTTGCAGGGCCAGAAGCGGTGGCAGACCCAACGGCACCCTCACCTTCCGCCGATCCTCGACGACGCCAGGACAGACCTCCCACAGCGCGACGCCCTCCGATCAAGCCTTTCCTCAGACGCCCCTGGAGCCCACGACGCCCTCGGTCGCTGGCGTAGCGAGCTACGATTTCGCCTCACAACCAGCCCAGTACGCGAAGCAGTCCATTCTCAACCTTTTCCAAGACGCCGCCACCCAGCAAGAGTCTTCCGAAGTCCTCGAACCTGGATGGGCCCCTGGCCATGCGAACGGTAACTCGTCACGTGGCTGGGGCAAGACCGGCCACACCCACGCCAACCAGGATCCGAATTCGTGTTGGCTTCCCGCCGCTTCGAACGGTCCCAACTCTTCGCGTCATCTGTCTGCTGAGGAGAAGGAGGTGCGCTTGCCCGGCTCGTTTGTGACCCTGCCAGCCCCACATGCTGACCCCGTATCGCAGGCCTTTGCGTCCGACGTCAACTCCCCCCTGAAACCACCGAACCAGCAACAGAAGGAAGGCGCGCAGCAAGGCGGCACCAACGGCCGGAAAACATCCGTCTCGCATGGGAGTGGCGGTCCTGGCTTCGGCGTTGCGTCGCCGACCTCCGCTTCTCGTCCGAGCACCCGCCGGCGCGAGACAACCGACTCGAATCCTTTTGCTTCTGGAGGCGTCTCGTCCCCGGCCACGGCACGGTTTAACCGCGACGACAGCGGCTTCCTGTTTGGGCGCAAGGGAGGCGAGGCCAAGGACCAGGACCTGAGTGAAGAAGAAGGTGGCGCCCCTCCCAGTCGTGGAACACCCCAAGGCCGAGGTGGATTCGGAGGCCTGATGCGTAGCAACACAGCGGGAACTCCGATTGCCGGCACCAACATCAGTTCTCTGTGGGGCCAGTCCAACCCGCCGCCGCCGTCTTCGGGCATGGGAAACTTTGGCCAGTTTGCCCTCCCGACGCCCACCGCGCTCGGGGGTAGCGTTCGTGGCGGCAGCCGCTTCGCGAATCTGATTCCTGGAAAAGAAGGCGCCGAGGATGCGGGTGGCGCCAAGCAGGCCGAGACCCCTGGCGGCACCGCCGATCGATCGTGGCGCTCGCGCCCTCGGACTGATACCGACCCCTTCGGCGACGACAGCCTCTCCGGCAGCGCTGCCCTCGGAGGGGCCAAGGATACGAGTCCGCCCCCGATGCCCAACCCCGCGACGAGCAACATGGGAGTCTTCGAGACACCCGTCAAGGGCTCCACCAGCGACTTTGGCATGTCGGGACTGAACCTGGGGCAGCACGGCGAACACGACCAGGGACCCGTCAGCCCGTCCGAGACCAACCCGTACCGGAGCCCGCCCGCCGAGCGAGGTGAGGACCACGACGAGAGCGACAAGCGCCACGGTGCCGGCATCGGTGCTGAGCAGCCTTCCAACTTTAGCACCCTGTCTCGTGGCTTCCCCGCCCACCCATTCGCCGACGGCAGCGACCGCAGTCAGACGTCAAGCGCTGGCCCCAAACCCTACCCTTCGCTGTCTAACCTCACTGGCTGGCCCGCCCCGAACCCCGTCGGCACGCCCGATCGTGAACGTCAGGGTTTCCCCGGCGCCGCTTTCGGCAACTCGCTTTTCAACCCCATGGGCGGCGAGCTCCAGTCTCCCGGCCTGTCCAGCATTGGTGGTGGTGTCTTCGGCCCCCCGAGCGCCGGCGGCATCGGCGCCACCGGCTCTCTCGGCCGCAGCAAGCTTGGCTCCCTCTTCCCTGCTGCGATGCAGGCGCAGATGCAGGGCCACGAGCAGCACGAGAACCTGAGCGACTCCCTTCCTGATCTCCGCCAGAGCAACCCTCTTGGTGCGATTGGCAGAAACAACTTTGCGCCCCATCGCGAGACCGAGAGCCCCATGCGCACCGGCCGCGGCGTCTTTGAGGATCTGTTTCCCTCGTCCGCCGACAGCCGTGCCCACAACAACGTGTTTGGCACTCCTGGCGAGATGCCCGGCGGCCCTCTCGGCGGTGGCCCGCAGTCGTACACCCCGATCAACACGTCCACCTCGGACCTACCGTCTAACCAGCAGCGCCAGATGGTCATGCCTGATCGTATGAGATGGGTGTACCTCGACCCTCAAGGTCAAATCCAGGGTCCCTTCACCGGCCTCGAGATGAACGACTGGTACAAGGCCAACTTCTTCACGCCGGACCTGCGCGTCAAGAAGGTCGAGGACTCTGATTTCGAGCCCCTTGGCCAGCTGATCCGGCGCATCGGCAACTCCCGCGAGCCGTTCCTCGTCCCCCAGATTGGTGTTCCTCACGGCCCCCCTTCCGCCAACGGTCCCTTCTCGCCTGCCACTCCCGGTGGCGTCGTCCCTCCCCTCAGCGGCCTTTTCCCCAGCTTTGGCCGTACCCTCACCGCCGAAGAGCAGAACAACCTCGAGCGTCGCAAGCAGGAGGAGCAGTTCGCCATGGCCCAGCAACGCGAGGTCATGATGCGTCAGCAGGCCATCACCAGGATTCAGCCAGGTGGTATTCAGGGCTCCCTGCACCACCATTCCAGCGCTCACAGTCTGCAGAGCCAACCTAGCTTCGGCAGCATCGCCTCCCCCATCGGGGCTCCCCTCCAGCAGCCACCGACCAGCAACATGGCTCCCGGGTCTGGATACTACGACGGCGCCTCGCAGCAGCAGCAGCAGCAGCCTCAGCAGCAACAGGGAAACGGACAGGGCCCGGTCGGGGCCGGACAAGACCCCTTTCGTGAGGACGACATGCCGACCGTGAACGCCAACCATAGCAATGCCCAGAGCCAGGGCAGCTTCTTCCCCCCTCAGCCGCCCATTGGTGGTGCGCAGGGAAACGACAACCATGTGCGCGCCAACCTGCCGGGCACCGAGCAGCTCGCAGAGGACGACGAGGGTTTTCGTGAGCGCTTGAAAGAGTTTGAAGGCCTCCGTGCCGCACGCGACGCTGCGGAGCAGAAGGCCGCGGCGCAGGCCGACATTCCCCAGCAGAGCATCGAGGAGGACCACGCTGCTGTCGTTGAGCAGTCTTCCCACCGCAAGCTGACCGAGCAGGAAATGGACGAGGGCCAGCTCCTCTCGCTGACGCAGCAAGTTCAGAAGGCTCAGGCGGCCGCTGCCAAGTCGGCGACCTCTGGCCTGCCCATGCCGTTCCCGCCGCCCATCCCGCAGTCCGGCACGCCCCTCCCCGCTCCCACGGCGCAGAGGGTGCGGTCGGGCCTCCCCGAGCAGTACAGCCGCTCGCAGACCGGCACGCCTGACACGTCTTCTGTGACCGAGCCTCCTCCCCTCGCGCCCTGGGCCAAGGAGGCCACGCCCGCCGAGCGCAAGGGCCCCAGCCTCAAGGAGATCCAGGAGATGGAGGCGCGCACTGCTGCCAAGGCCGAGGAGGCCGCCGCCGCCGCCCGCAAGCAGGCTCTCGAGATGGAGGCCGCTTCACTCCGCGAGCGCGAGAAGGCCACAGCCATTGCCACGGGCCTGCCGACCACGAGCACCTGGGGCAACGGTTCGCCCGTGGCTGCCGCCAGCCCGTGGACCAAGCCCGGCCCGGTCAAGGCGGCGCCCGGCATCAACCTGACGGCCAAGCAGAAGACGCTGGCCGACATTCAGCGCGAGGAGGAGGCACGCAAGGAGAAGGCGCGTGCGGCCGCCGTGCAGTCGGGGGCTGTGTCGGCCGCCGGCAAGCGCTACGCCGACCTCGCGCTCCGCACCGGTGGCGGCAACCCGCCGGGTCTCGCGCAGCAGGGTGCTCCTGCTGCTGCCGCCGGCGCCGCCGTCGGCCCCGGCTGGGCGACCGTCGGTGCCGGCGGCAAGGTCAAGACGCCGGGCGGCGTGGCTGTCGCGCAGTCGCCGGTGCGCTCGGTCAGCACGACCAACGTCAAGCCCGTGTCGTCGACGCCCAAGCCCGTGGTCACGCGGCCCGTCGCCAGCAGCGTCAGTGTGGCCGCCGCTGGCAAGACGGACGTGGCCATGGACGAGTTCAACAAGTGGCTCCACCGGGAGCTCACGCGGGGCGGCATCCACGGCGTGGACAGTGAGTTGACCTGTTGCATCTGCGAAGTGAAGGAGAAAGCATGCTAACCAATGGATGCAGTCGACACATTTGCCGCCATGCTCATGATCCTGCCGGCGGAGACGTCGGTGATTGCGGACGCCATCTACGCGAACAGCAAAACTATGAATGGCGCTCACTTTGCGGAGGAGTTTGTGCGGCGCAAGAGGCGGGCCGACCAGGGCATCGTCGAGAAGCAGCCGACGTCGGCGGGCGGCGAGAGCAAGACGGCGGCGTCGAGCAGCGGGTGGAGCGAGGTCGCCAAGAAGAGCGGCGCCAAGGAGGCGGGCGCTCCGACGGCCGAGACGAACATGCAGGGTGCCGCGTTCAAGGTTGTGTCGGGACGCAAGAAGGGGTCGAAGAAATGAGGCACGATGAGGCCCGTGAGGAGCATGGAGCGGGAGGTGGCAGCAGAGGTGCTGTTTGAGACAGCTCGTGTACTTGTATGGATGGAGAGCGGATGATGGTCTGTTGAGGACATGGTTGAAGAACATGCCACGCCAGCAGCGTCAGCGTTGTACTCTGTCAAGCGAGCATGGCACAGTCAGTAGGCAGTCCACTGTTGAACACAGCATGCATGGATTCCTCTTGTGATTTGATCCTGATATCCGTACCTTGGGTGAAGATGGAGGATCCGTGGAAGCACGGTGAGGCTCGGTGAACCGCTGAGACTCGGTGAATGTGCTTAGGTCAGCGAATTAAAACTCTGTGGAAAGAGAAAGAGCCCCGCCCCCACCATGAATGGACATGACATTTCTCTCGCCCGTCAACCAACCTCGCATCCATTCCATCCGCCGTGCCACCAGTTCAGCTGCAGGCTGCTTGAACATTGGGAAGACAGTTCTTGATACCCAGGAGAGGCTCACTGCTATTTTTCCTTTGCCGTCGTCCGTGCCATTTCTCATCTTTCAGGCTCCCTCACGCCGACCAGGCGGGGCAGCCATCACCACCATCACCATCACCACCATCATCACCATCATCACCATCATCACCATCATCACCATCGCGGGGTCATTTCAGTCACACAGCAGCAGCAGCAGCAGCAGCAGCAGCAGCAACCTTGGGCAACCAGAGCCATGGCCGTCGCCCAACCATCAACAGCGACGCCGCAGGGCTTGGCCGCCAAGGTGGCAGCCGGCTCGTACGTCGAGGTGCTCTCGTCCGAGCCGGCCAAGACCCTCATCAAGGCCTTCACCCAGTCCCTCAAGACGGCGACGCCGCACGCCGAGCCAGCCGCCCGCACCGACGAGCAGGAATCCCTCACCGTCGCCGTCGCCGCCCTCACCGACGAGCAGGAATCCCTGACCATCGCCGTCGCCGCCCTCAACGCTTTTCTGCAGTCCAACGTCACCGGCCCCGTTCTCGAGAACGCGAAGCCTGTGACGGCCCTCTTCGTCGCCGGCCACGGGGACGTCAAGACGCTGCGCAGGGCCTGTCTCGTCGACCTCCAAGTCGACGGCGTGGCCCCCTACGCCCATATCCCGCACATTGAGCTCTTTGCCTTTGCGCGCCGCATCGTCGCTGCCGCTGCCGCTACCACGACGCTGTCCGAGACGGCGCCGCTCGCGCTCGACGCCGCCACGACCATCTCCCTCTCGTGGCTGCGCCTGCGTCTCGCCGTCTGGCACTACCGCCTCCTGGCCCAGCCGTCCCTGTCTGGCGCGTCCTTTGCCAAGACGTCGCAGTGGATCGACGTGCCTTCCCTCGCCGAGACGGTTACGGCGTCGCTGGGGCGCGTGCGCCAACAGCTGTTCGGCGACGGCCACGATGACGATGTCTGGGCGCTCGCTGCCACCGAGGGCGTGGCGTGGGGACGTCAGGACAAGGTGCAGTTCCTGCTCGAGGCGGCGAATGCGTGGATCATGCTGGGGCGCGACGACAAGGCGCGTGAGGCCCTGGGCGAGGCGACCAGGCTCAACAGGTTCGAGTTTGCGCTCTCGGGTGCCCTGGGCAAGAGGACGCGGTTCCAGGAGAAGAGCATCAGTCAGCTCGTCGTGCTGGCGCGCAGTGCCGCGCACGAGGCCGAGGCTACGGTCGTCGCTGACGAGGACGACGCAGATGTCGAGGCCAAGCCCGATGCCCTCGCTCTCAACGACGACACGCTGCTGGAGACGATTGACTTTTCCGAGGGCCGTGACGGGGATGCCGCCAAGTCCGCCACGCTGCCCGCTGCGCTCGTCGATATCCAGCCTGATGACCAGCCGCAGCTTGCGCCCCTGGACCAGATCATCTTGTTGACCGAGGCGACGCTCAAGGATTCCTTCTCGCCCGTCGACACGCTGACGTCGGAGGAGGTGCTGCCGTATGCCGTGCGCGTCGTCTCGGAGAAGTCGACCAACTGGCAGATTTACACGCAGGCGCTGCTCGTGCGGTCGAGGATTGAGATGCACAGGAGTCGCACCATTGAGCGGGGCGTGCTGCAGATGCAGGCTGTTGTCGACCAGGTCGTCGTTGACACGGAGCAGCCTGCCGAGGCCGAGGCCGTGGAGAAGGAGGAGAACAAGGACGACGCAGACGTGCCAGCGATCGCCGTCACGGCGCCTGACCAAGTACCCGAGCAGCCCGATGCTGACAAGCCGACGACCTTCTTCCGCGCCGCTGAAGCCACCGACTCGGCGCCCGCCCATGTGCGCCTGCAGTACATCCACGCGCTCGCGTCTCCGCCACGCTGGCACCTCGAGTCCGAGCTCGCCTACTCGTGGGCTCACGTCGGCTCCCTTGTGTCTGCCCTCGAGATCTTCAAGCGTCTCCGCCTCTGGGCCGAGGTTGCGCTCTGCCTCGCCACGGCAGCCGCCGCCTCGGCTGACGACGAGTCGGGACGCGGCAGCGGCGGCGAGGAGAAGGCCAAGGGCATCATGCGCTGGCGCCTCTTCCACGCGACCGGCACCACGTCGCCCGTCGACCCAGACGCCGAAGATCTCCCTGATGACGTGGTCCATCTGACGCCGGCGCACTTCTCCGGCCCCGAGCGCAGCCCTGCCGTGCCCAACGCGCCGCGCCTGTTCTGCATCCTCGGCGACCTCGAGCAGGACCCGAGCCACTATCTGCGCGCCTGGGAGATTTCCAACCACCGCTTCGCCCGCGCCCAAAAGTCGCTCGGCGAGTACCACCTCGCGAAGAAGGACCTGCCCGCCGCCCGCGAAGCCTACGCACTGGCCGTCGGCAGCAACCGCCTGAGCCCCGAGCTCTGGTCCCGCCTCGGCGACATTGACCTCCGCCTCGGCCGCCCCGGCGACGCCGCCGAAGCCTACCGCCGCGCCATTGCCGCGGCAGGCGACCCCATCGGCGGCGAGGACGCCCGCACCTGGAGCAACCTCGGCTCGGCGCTGTGGTCCCAGTACCTGCAGGTGATCGACGACCTACGCGCCGAGCTCAAGGACGCCAAGCTCGAGGACGCACCCGCTCCCGTCCTCGCCGACGACGAAGAAGGCGACGCGACGGCCGCGACAAGGGAGAGCAAGAAGACGCAACAGGACCCCGAGGTCATCCTCGCGCAGTCCCTCGCCGCCTACAAGCGCGGCGCGACCCTGTCGCAGGACAACTGGCGCATCTGGGACAACGTCCTCACGCTCGCGACGCGCTCGCACCCGCCCGCCTACACCGACGTGCTGCACGCGCTGCGCGCCCTCGTGCGCATCCGCGCCTCCGAGACGGCCCTCGACGCGGCCGTCCTGCGCGCCCTCGTCCAGGACGCGCTCATCGCGCAGCCCAAGCAGGACAGCGACGGCAGCGGCAGCAGTGGCACGGCCGGCGTCTACGAGCCCCCGCGCGGCACCCTGGCGCGGGCCGTCGCCTTCTTCCTCGAGGACGCCGTCGTGCCGCTCATCACGACGCGGTCGGAGCTGTGGGAGATTGTGGCGCGCGTTCGGGCGTGGCGGCGCGATTACAAGGGCGCCGTCGACGCCGCGGAGAAGGGCTGGAGGACGGCCATGGGGAGCGCCTCGGCGCTGGGCGCCAGCGACGGAGGCACGACGAAGAGCTGGCTCGAGGACGAGGAGGCCTGGGGCGAGGTCGTGGCGCGCACGGACGAGCTCGTCGGCGTGCTGGAGAACTATGGCGCCTTGGCGGAGGGCGTGGGCGAGCGGTGGAGGGGCAAGGCGAGGAGCGCGGTGCGGAGCGTCATGGGCAAGGCCAAGACGGCGTGGGAGGGGAGTGAGGGGTGGAAGGTGCTCGAGAGGCTGGCGGAGGGGTTGGCATAGACTCTAGACGCGTAGACGGCAACAGGGACGGCATGGGGCAGAGATGGAGACTGGAGCATCGAGACGGAGTTGAAAAACTGGTTTGCTTGGATAGAGATTTGGATGAGGCTGCTCTCGCGGTCATGGTTATGATGATGTCTCTGCAACGTGATGTTTGTTTTTAGATGAAAAACACCGACACGAAAGGTTTTTCGCTCGCCGTCATGATTTTGAAGGTGTTTCTTCAACGTGATGTTTGTGTTTGGCCATGATTGTTCGCACCTACACACAGTTTCTCATGAGCCTTGCGAACGCAAGCTTGTTGGTTGTAAACATCGGTGTGGACCATTTTCGACTTTGATTCATTTTGATAAACGTAACTAGAGAGGTACGAAGCTAAAGATATAAATTGACCTACTACATTCGTAACGCCATTAAAAAAAAAAGAAAACCCTAAAATTGCCCTCAGTTATAAACAATATTTTCACACTCCTGGCTCCCTTGCCAGTCGCACTCACAGCGGGCTCATCTCCGTCCTCTTGGGATCCGGCGGTCCTCCAGGATTTGACGTCTTACAGTCATGAAACTCTGTGTTGCCAGCCCTCACTCCATCGATCGATACGTCACAGACCGACATCCTACGACGGGCCGTAAATGTCTTCCTCCTCCTCATTGTGCACGTAGGTGCTAACCCTCGGCCTATAGTCGGCGAGATTCACCCGTGACAATGCTCGTTCCATGTGACCGCGAAGGCCTATATTGTACTGTGGCGTCCGTCTGAGGATCTCTCGGCGGAACCGCTCACGGAGCACGGGGATCATCTCCTGCGGCTGCAGCTGTCCCCTGAGGCCTCTAGCCTCGAAGTCGGAAATCTCAGCCGCGGCCCTCTTCTCGAGAGCCCGCCGTGCCGCTGCCCGCGCCGGATCATGTTGCGTAGTCTTTGGACCCTTGGCGGGACCCTGTGTCCTGACTGCGGTCTCTTCCTCGAGCCTGGCAGTGAGGTTGGCCTTCTCGCGGGCGCGCTCTTCCTTGCTGGCAAAGGTGAAGGGGGCTCCCAGCTGTGGGATGCTGCCGTTGAGGACCACGCAGAGCCGTTGGTATTCTTCCGTCTCCTGCTCGAGCTTCGCCGCCGCCAGACTTCCCTGCGCAAGCCTCTGCAGCGCGAGCTTCTCCTGCGCGGGCGCATCCGAGGGGGAGGGCCTCGGGCCGCCCACGATGGGAAGAGGCATAGACGGCGCCGGGACGGCGGGTTCACTCGTGGGCGGGTTCGTCGGTATCTCGGGTCCCTGGGCCAAGTTGGCCTTTGCCTTCTCCACCTGTTCCGCCAGCCATACTTCCGCTCTCCTCCCCTCCTCCATTTCGATATTTCGCTCCTCCTCGCGGTCGACCGCCAGCTTGGTCAGGGCGTCGAGCGAAGGTCGGATCTGCTTGGTCTCCCGCGTGTCCTTCCACTGCATCATGCGCTCGCGATCGGTGTCAACCTGCATCACGGCACGCCGCATCATACTTATCTCCGCGGCACCCATGGGGCGCGCCGTCCCGGCCACGATACGCGGCGCGGGCGCCTGCTCGCGGTAGAGCACCTCGTCAACGGCGCGCCGACGTTTCTCGCTCTCGCTGAGCCAGCCCTCGCCGGCCGCCGGCAGCTTCTCGCGGGGCTCCTCGCTGTACACGGGCGGCTGCTGCGCCGGGGCGCGTCTCGCGGGCCCGCGGGTGGGCGTTTCGGGGTCTGGTCGAGCCTTCTCGGGGCTCGTGCGGCCTTTCTCGGGCGTCGTGGTGTTGCTCCGGCTCGACCCGGGCGAGCTGCGAGACGCTTCGGCTTGGGCGCGCCGTGCGCCTCGTCGTTGAGCGGGCTTGGCGATCTTGGATCTCTCGGCCAGCGTGTTGAGTCTGTGTCGCAGGCTGTTTTGGAGGGCCCGCTGATCGATGATATCCAGGGGGTCAAAGTCTGGTGTGCGAGACCTCGAGGGGCCTGGTGACGACGCGTGGGGGCTTCTGCTGCCCGAACCCCTTGGCCCGCTGCCTCCTGCACGGCCTGAAGCTGTCCGTCGACTAGCACGTCCGGGCGAAGAAGACGACGAACGATTTGGAGCCTTGGCTTCTCTGTTCCAGGGATCATTGCGCTCCGTTGGACGCTCATTCGGTGGTTCGCTATCATCGCCCCCGTCACCCGGAGTAAGGGAAGGTCGGGCTATCATCGCTTGCCCCCACAGGGGGACATCAGAGTCCGGATCATCTGCTGGCGGCTCAAAGTATCTCGCAAAGCTATCGTCCGACGCATCGCTTCCCTCTGAATCTAGCTTGGGCCTCTTGATTGGCGCAATCAGATCTTCTGTCGTCTCCGTTGTGTTTTCCTCTTCACGCTTCCTCTTCTTTGGCTTTGCCTCTGACGAAGTGACGAGGTTGATGAGTTTTTTATAAATCTGATCGGGGTTGTCTACTGAAGGATTAGCTGGTTGTGCTTGAATCGGTCCCTCAAGCAAGATGGACTTACGATCTGGTATCCTCGGGTCCCAGTTCTCGCACTGGTCAGGGTCCTCGGTAATTTCGTTGACCAGCTGCGCAACGACGGCAAACTCAAAGGTTTCGATCACCCAGTTCCTGATTTCTTCGTCGTCAATGACACGACCTACCCACGGGCTGAGCTTGGCCTTTTCTTCCTCAATACCATATCTCATGACGTCTGTCCAGTCAGTACAGTCACCTACGACCAGCCGAGCAGCATACACAGGCTACTTACTTGTCACGTCATACACCCACTCATCGACAGCAACAAAGGCCAATGCGAGGGTCCATTCGTCGATCCTTTGGCCATTGAAGTCTTCCAAAATGGCGGGCAACATTTGCGCCACGTCCTCGAACGGGGGCCTGCGGATCTTGTGCGTGATGAGCTCCATCGACCCCCTCATTGTCTCGATCACTCTCCTCTTTTCGAGGCTGTAGAGGTGTCGATCCGCGAAGATGCCTTCGTCGTCTATGGTCCATGGGCTGTGGTCGTTCCAAAGGCTTCGATAGACTTCGCCACGAGCTGTATCTTGGATCCCTGTGCCAAAAGTGTCAGTAGTTGTACAGCCGGCCATGTTCATGGATCACAACGTACAATCTGGCTGGAAGGATATGAGTGTGTCGTGATGCGCAAACGTGTGAGGCGGAACCCTTGTATCAGGGTCGTGCTCGGGTACGATGCGGCCGATGCGAAGATGTTCGATGGCACTCAATATGGCAAGAAAATTGTGGTTTTCTCTAAAGATGTCCGATACATCCTTTCCCACGTGCGGCGCAATCAGCTGGATGCCTGCCGGATGCAGACGCGCCCATTCTGTTCGCCTTGTCAGTACTCCCTGAAACAACGGAGCGCTGTGGTGTCATCTGGATGCTCCTCTCAAACGTACCTGTCACGTCATAGACATTGTTCCAAATGATGATGTAGGCACCAAGGGGGCATTCTTTGTCGAGGTATCGATGGGCTGCCACCTCACGCCTAGTGTAGACGTTAAAGGTACGCGTCTTCGGCATCTCGCCCGCCCAGACTGTACCGACTCTGGTTTCCCAGAGGCTGCTTCTCACTTCCGAAAGATCGTATTGGCTCATGATGACTTTGTGTGCAGGGCTCCCGCCCGGCACACTTCGCAGCAGTGTATGCAGTGGTATTTGGCCTTCATCGGTCATGATCGGAGAGGTCCAGTCTGCTAGCAGTTAGTTTCTTGCAATCGCCTATGGTACGAAGTGAACCTACTTGTAATGTCAAAAATGTTCCGTTCAAGAACAATCCAGAACGGCTGGCCATCCTGTCCATCACGCATGGCCACCTCGTGCTCTCGATACTCTGGTATGAATCGCCCTATCAACGCTTCCGGATCAAATTGCCCGTTGTTGTTCGATACATGCATGTCCAGCATTAGATCGCCGTGCTGCAGCGGAATTGGTCGCCCTAATCTGACCCAGCCATAATACTCATCATGCAGCGGGCTTCTCTCTGGCGGCTTGACGGCGTCCCAAAAGCAGACTAGATAGACGGTACGGCGTTCAATGATGCATACTTCTCTACCGTTTCCACTGTTCTGCTCCAAAATGTCCGCCGGCATCCACTGATACATAACGCGGTGCTTGTCCTCAAGGGGCGCGATCACGTCGACCATCTGCGCCCAGGTGGGCAGGCTCGTGTCAACCGGGTCTGGATCCGCGTCACGACCCCAGATGGGGCGGTACTGCTCGATGGTGTTGTACAGGCAAGTCTTTTGCGTCGCGCGAGTGTATCCAGGCATGGCAAAGTTGAGATTGAGCCATGTGCCCTCTCTGTTGACATCAGGGTCAGCGAGGTTGCCGACCTGCGCCGCGACGTCCTTGAGGGCTGCCTCAAAGGCTTCTTTGAGGCCCAGCGGCGCCGCACTGAGATTCTCGTATATCTTGAAATAGCCAGCCGCTTCGTGGAGAAAGTGTCTTCGGAGAGCTCGGGGCGATCGGGGGTCCTTGATGCTGTAGGGCTCCTTGCCTTGCTCCCCGTCAAGTTTGTGACCTGGAAAGTTGAGCACGAAGTCTGCCGTGTTCTCAATCGGATCTGATTCGCGGTACGCCGAATCGGCAATGCTGTTAAGAAAGGCGCGCTGCTCTTCCGGCTGGCCTTCCAGCACCGAGGGTCGAACAGTCCAGGGGTTCTTCACCAGCTCCGGCATGTGGCCTTTTCGCGGGTTCACGTGAAGCGGCTTGAAACGGATGGGGAGTACCGCTGTAATCAGCATGCACATGGCACGGTAGAACCAGTTGCTCTTGTCGATCATGTCGTGACTATCCAAGAGCCATGGGAGCTCTTCTGGGCCGGCGTTTGGCCAGACGAGAGGGTTCGACCAAGTCGAAATGATATCCGCAATGTCCCGCTCGTCTGCGAATGTGCGACCCACGAGATGCTTGTTGAGCACCTTTTCTAGGTCGAACCTATTCCACACGTTGCCGTAGGGAGAGTTTCGCCATTCTTCGTAAGCCTCCTTATACCACGGGCGCCACTCTTCGTATTGCTTCCTTCGATACTGTATCCGACGAGCCATTTGCTTCAGCGGCCGCTCGAGTGAAGCATTGGTCTTCAAGTCATGGTTCCAGGCTGCGGGCACGCACGAGACATCGAAGCCGGTCGTAACACGGGTATCAAATACTCGGGGCATTCGGAGCGCGTCGCTGCCATACTTCGCAACAGTAGACTCCCAGAATTCTTTCGTCGTCGTGGCGCATGTGTACAGAGCTGGCACCGGCGAACTCTCATAGGTATACGGATACTCCAAATCGATGCGAATCGAGTGCGACGCCCATGTGCTCGGCTTAAGGATAGGCCATTTTATATTCGATGCCAGAAGTGCGGCGCCGTTGGTTGAGCCACTGAAGCGGTATATGTCAAGAGGATGTGCACTTAGATTGGCGACACCGCCGAAGATGGCGTTTTCGAATGATTCGCCCATTTCAGACAGCAGCTCGTTAAACATGAACTGCAAACTATTAGCAAAGCGCAGGCACAATTGTTGTTGCCGGTGACTTGCCGTCTCGCGATCAGGGTGAGGTTCGGGAAGCATTTCCGTCAACTGATTGAAATTGGTCTGGCCAAATCTGACGCCGTGCTAGATGCATGTAAGTCATATGTCCGCTTAAATCTTGATGAAAGATTGTCTACGGAGTTTGCTTTGCGCTGAAAACTTACCAGTATCTCATGAGTGATCTGCATACAGCCATCAGCAAACACAACATATAGCTTGGGGGGAAACAGAACATACTGTGATCGCTAGGAGCGCTCTGGCTTGGCGTTTTGATGTCTCGCTGACCCCGGGTTTGATCAGGGCCAGAGCACCCATAGTATCGACCTGTATCAGAGTCGATTGTCGGCCATCGATCTCGAGCGGACCAGTCACTCCATAAGGACAGCCGTTGGGCGCCTCTGAATTGCGGTTGACAGAGTTAAAGGTAAAATTGACATCCTCGCAGAAGTGGTCAATGGCTTCTATGCAATCGCTCACGTCAAAGCGGGCATCGATTGCTCTTTCTGTGGCCCTCCATATCGTGCCCCTTTCTTTACTTTTGCCGCCTTTGGGCAACTGTACGTTTTTGGTGGCGCGGATCGTCCTCATATCGAGGAACGTAGACATCCTACATGGGATCATCGATCAGTGTCCATGCCAGCCCCTAAGGAGGAGCGACTTACCACCTGGTGTAAGAAGCCTGTTTGAGAATGCGGTTTGCAATGTCTAGGACTTGTCGAAGCTCTGCCCAGAGAATCGCATCATCGACAGACCACTTCCTATTTTCTCCGTCTCCGTCGACAAATTCTTCAAAGTCGCAGACCCATCGATCCTTTCCTAGGACTCTAAACCACTTCGACTCGTCGATCATGTCGCTGTCCGCCAGCGTCTCGCTGGATGCAAGGGGCTCGGTCTCTTTCGGCATGTTCTCCTCTTCCTGCACCATGAGAGCGGCCTCCCATGTGCGCATACCGCCGAGCGCCAGGCGTTGCATCTCTTCCGCCTGCAACAAGCGATCAAGGTCCTCGGGATGCGGCTCTGGGATCGTGTCGCCGGGGTCTGGAGGGTTGACCGGCTCGAACGTGTCATGGTTCAGTCGAGGGAAGTCGGGATCTATCCAAGACCGGCCGCCTCCTACATACGGGGTCTTCCTTGATACTCCGTACCTCGATGTCCAGCCGCTAGGCGTGGCCCACGTTTGTGTCTTTGCCGGTGGGACGTAGCTACTCGAAGAGGGGGGGCTGATGGCGTTCGTGGCAGGTGTTTTGGCAGTTTTTAGGCCCATAAGTGTGTTCCCAGCATGGTTCTGCACGTCATCCAAGAACTCTAGGTAACGCCCTGAAGGCAGGTCAGAAACCAAGGCTTCGAGTACCTCAAGATTATCGGCCATCGTGGCTTCGTCGGGCAGGCTTTGATCTGTTGGCGATGCCATGGTATGGCATTGCATGGTCGATTGAAAAGTGAGCAGAGACACCTAAAAGGTGATATCTAGGAGGTGCACGATGGCTTTGCGAGAAACACAGAGCGCGTACACGAAACGAGAAAACATGAACAGGGCAAAAGCAACCATGTGCATTCATTGATTTTCAGTATGGCGGGATTGATAAGGGAACTTGTGTTGAAATTCGCGAGCTCTCCCATAGCAACCGACCTCGAGCGGTCGCGGGTCGTGTCGGACAAAGGAGACACCTATATTTCAGGTCGAGGGATAGCAACAAAGACGAGAATAGACACAAGGCAAAGCTGCCACCTCGTTGCTCAAAGCATTGGCCTCGAGAGTACTCAGGCTCTTGAACAAAGAATCAAATCATAGCTTAGAATGCATCGCCTGACGTCTGGCATTGACGAACACGGGTAAGGCAGAACAGAACTGTATGGGCGAAGGATGCAGACGGATGAGGAAGAGTGTGGCGCGGGCGTCAATATCAAGGCTTTGTTTGGCATTATGTTTTGACGTTGCGTGATAATACATGTTGGGTCTGCAGCTTGACGGATCTTGTCAGGACCCCTGCGGAGCCACCAAGGGCCTGCCAAGCTAAGGGGCTGGCTAGGGGCTAAGGGCCCGGAGAGAACGTATATATAGGCTGCGGAGGGCCCCCCAAGCTGCGGAGGGCCAGAATTCAGATGTATTCCTATCCCATACCTATATTCTAACTATCTGCGGACCCTGTGGAAGACCCCTTCACTCTGCTCTAAACAACGCTCTGACAGATCTCTTGGCTTATTGCTTAGAGGTGAACGGCATAATGCGATGATCAACGCGGCTAGGAAGCAGGTTAATGAGAGCTTAGCACATCTATCGGGGGTTGCGGCGTTCAAGTTGGGTCAATCAGAATCAAACATTCAAAGTAGGGAGACGCGACTTTGAGACAGATTCGCTAGCATACTGAGTATATTTCGCTTGGAGCCAGATGACATATCTTTAGCAAGTCACAAGAGTTTGTGCAGCAGAACTCCTGTGCCAACGCATACACTTTCCCTGTATGATGGTCGCAGCCTGACTCACTGATACCCAGTGCAGGAACTTCGGCTGTCATATAGGCGTCACTGAAAGGTCTAAGAGATGGAGTCCACGTTGGCGGAAATTCGACCATAAGGTGTGCGGCTCCTTGCCGACCCAGGAAACGCACCCGATATTATTAGTATGCTGGCCGTGCATCCGCCTGCATGTTAGAACAGTGATGATTCAAATCACTAGTGAAATGGTCAATTACTTGACCGAACCTGGTTTAAGATGAGTGCACTTAATGTTCATCTCTTAACGAGACAGAAAGGAGAGGATGATGACGCGAAAATATGAGAGCATGAAGGTATCACGGCCCTGGTCCAAGATCCTAGGGGACTGGTTCTCAGGGGAGTGCTGCAGCACATACGACCTGTAGGACCTTGCTGAACATTTACAGCTTCAGCACGATATCTGTTATGCTGAGAACACTACATCCATCACCAGGCTTCTAAAGAGCCCACCATTCAGCCCCGTCGCCAATCTGATGGTCTCCTATCATCTCCCATGTAGATTATCTTGTTTTGGTACCTCGGTCATAGTGTTGCCTCCATGTCTATGCAAAGATCCACTGTTGACTATGACTGGGTACCAAACATTCAAGTTTCTTCAAGCGGTGAAGGACAATGAAGGATGGGCAGCATGCGATCGAGTACTCAGACCATCGTTATGGTGCTTAGCGGGGTTGAGACATCCTACGAGTTGGAGGCGTATTTATTAGCAGTAAGCTCCAAGCTCCCTGATACTTAAATGGAATAACCATCACTCAAGGTCATAGCGGGCATGTACGCGTTTGTCATTATCCCAACCGGTCCCGCCTCTCTCTAGGCACCTCTGATCAAAACTTCCCCGAAACATATCTGTCCAAAAGCCTATCCATGGATAAGCCCACAATTGGCTAGGCGTGTCTACTCATCCCCGTCTCACATGTGTTACAACAAGCCCGGCCACGCGTCTGATGGTACTGGCGCGAACCCCGGTGGAGCAGCAGAGGCATATTCATGAGTATCGAAATATTTGCGAGTATCGGCGGCACAGAAACCTAAACGTGAGGCGGAAACAAACATGGCGAGCTGACAAGGTGAAGACTCTGCTCAGAGCGCGCCATATGAAGGCTACGTAGAGGCCCACCCGCAGGGATGAAGCCATCGCACGCGTGCGCTGCTCACATCAGTGGAGCATTTGCTCTGTCCTCGTCCGGGGTAGGTAGCCTCGCGGCGTCGAATGCACCGCGCGCTCGCTGTCACCGGGGACAAAGAAGGCGGCCTTGATATCCTGTCACCAGAAGCAGCGAGGCATCGGACCTCTTCTTTGTCGCAGTCTTTGGCCTGCCAAACGGGGGGCAGTGGGGGGCCAGGCTGCATTCCGGTGTTCAATGGAGTCTCGATTGTGTGCTGCAGCGGCGCGTGGCCCAGCGAACAAAGACCAGCTTCTGGGGAGCCCAGTGCCCCCATCCGCACCAGTCGATACGAAGTTGTATTCGATCTTGTTGAAGTCAACAGGCCTCGTACATCTATCTGCCTGCCCAGTGTGTTTTGTATAGAGCGAATCTGGGGGACAGAAATACAAGTCTCACGTGACACTCCACACCCCATAGCAGACAGACCTCGAACAGACATCACAATCACGTTACTTGTACAAGGTGAAGTTGATGGCTCTCAGTTGCCGTCTATCTACTCTCCACTGTCATCCACGTCATTCCCTGCCGCAGGAACATCTCGTCCTCGGCCCTGGGGTCCTCCAACCCCACGACGAGGCGGGTAACGTTCCACATCTTCCGGCGTGTGTTTCGTCTGGGGGAATCTCATGGGGATGCATCATCAAGAAAAGGGAATTATACGTCAAAACCAGAAGCCCGCGACCATGCAACCAAACAACCCGGGAACGACTTTTTTTTTCGTGGCGAAGGCTCGTAACAAAGGAAAAGGGCGGTATGCCGAGGTGGTGGGTATTGAGGAACAGGATTTCGCTCGTAGGGGGCGAAATGATTTATTCATCCTCATCGGAGAAGACCTCCTCACCACGCTTGCGACGGGCCATACGGTCTGGAAAAGGCAGAGTTAGTGAATCGTCATCATGGTGGGGTGCGGCAGAGATGAAACATACCCTTCTTCTTCTTGCGGAGCTCGGAAGAAGTAAGCTTGGCCTTCTTCTTGGTGGAGACAATCTTGTTGCCCATGGCATCGAACTTCTCCTCCTCCTCGCCCTCATCGGCCTTGAGACGTGGACCAGCACCCTGGCCCTGGACCCAGTTGTGGCCGGAGGGGGTCATCTTACCGTCAAGGACGGCCCAGACCTCCTCAGTCAAGTCCTTGGTGAACTCAGCGCTGTGAGTGATGATGATTACACCACCACCGAAGGCCTTCAGGGCCTTGGACAGGGCACCCAGGGAGTCACGGTCAAGGTAGTTGGTGGGCTCGTCAAGGACGATAAGATGGGGGCGCTGCCACGAGCACGCGGCGAGGACGACCTTGACACGCTGGCCACCGGACAGACCGCGCATGCGGGAGTGGGAGACAAGCTCGGCGTCGAGGCCAAAGTTGGCGCAGTGGCTCTCGATCTCCTTGCGGACAAGGGGACGGAACTGACCAGAGGCGAGGGCCTCCTTCATATCGACATCGGCGACCATCTTCTGGTGAGAAGCCAGAAGCTCGTTACGGGGCAGCCAGACGTTGTCGGCGGACATCATGGGAGTCCAGCGCTCGTTCTTCATGCCAACGTTCTCACCCAGAGCGAAGGAGCACTCGTACTCGTACGAGTTCTTGAACTTGCGACGAGAGTTGATGCCAATGACGCGACGCTGAGAGTCCTGGATGCGGAAGATCTTGTCCATGGCCTTCTCGTCGGCATCGGTAATGATCTTGTTGGCACGGTCCATAGTCTCGCGATCCTCACCCGTCTGGAAACGCCACTGGATGTACTCGGAGGGGGTGGAGTCGAGGTGGTTATCGATGTGAGCGAAAGCGTGCTGCTTGATGTAGGCGATACGGATGTTCTCGTGCTGGTAGATCTCACCCGACGTGGGGATGAGCTCACCAGTGAGGACGTTGATGAGGGTAGACTTGCCGGCACCGTTGGGGCCAATGACGGCAATACGGGAGCCGAGCGAGCACTGGAACGAGATCTCCTCAATCTGGGGCTTGGTGGTGCCGGGGTACTGGAAGGTCATGTTGGTGGCACGGAGAATGGCCTTGGCCTTGGTCTTGACACCCTCAAGGAAACCAGGCTCGGGGAACTGGAACTCCATCTCGGAGGCGCCGAGCTCGTAGTAAGACTTGGCCGAGGGGCACTTCTTGACGAACTCCTTCAGGTTACCACGGTAGCGCTTGAGCTTGAAGCGCTCGTAGTGGATGATGTGCTGGCAGACGTTGTCGAGGAAGCCAGAGTCGTGGGAGACGATGATGGACGTGCAGGGGGAGTTCTGCAGGTAGTCCTCGAGCCACTTGACGTTCTTCACGTCGAGATGGTTGGTAGGCTCGTCGAGAAGCAGAATATCGGGGGCCTCGAAGACGGCACGGCACAGAGCGAGCTTCATCTTCCAACCACCGGACAGAGCGGTGATCTCGCCAGACACCATGGTCTCGGTGAAGCCGAACTCGTTGAGCTTGGCCTTGACGTCCTCGACAGGGGTCTGGACGTCAGCCTCACGCAGCTTCTTGATGGTCCAGTCGATGGTGGTCATCTCGGTATCGGCGGAGTCAAGGTCGTGCTCGACGAAGACGGTCTTGACCTCGCTCTGCTTGGGGAAGCCCTCGACCTGCTCGTTGTCGATGGCGCGCATGAGAGTGGACTTGCCGGAACCGTTGGGACCGCAGAGACCGTAACGCTGACCACGCTTCAGGCGAAGGTGGGTCTGGTTGAGCAGAATCTTGGCACCGTAGGCGAGGGAGAAGGTGCAGTTGCAAAGGTCCTCACCCTCCTCATCGTCGGCATCGCCCTCGGCGGCCTCGGCGGCACCGGGGGAGGCGCGCTTGCGGAGGGTGTCGACGACAGTCTCGGAGTCCTTGTCGCCGGTGATGACAGCGACGTAAGGCTTGAGGGCCTCGACCCAGGTAATGGCCTCGATCTCCTTCTCGTCAATGAGCTGGCCAGCAATGGCGGAGATGTAGGTGAGGACGGGCTCGACCTGAGCGGCCTTGCCGTACTTGGTGCCGAGAACCTCCTTGAGCTTGGCAAGGACGGTGGCGATATCGCCGTCGAGCTTGACTTCAGGGATGACACCGTTCTGGATGTTGCCAACACGGTTGAGAGTGTCAAGAGCCTGCCTGGTCTTCTCACGAGCCTCGGGATCAGCGAGGTTGTCGAAGTTCTTCTGGAGACCGGGCATCATCTTGGGCAGGAAAGGCGCGACAATGTTGGGGTCGTCGACGAGCTTGCACATGTTGTCGACAATGACGGCGGCCTTACGCTTGATGGCAGTCTCACGCTCGGCGAGACCACGATCCAGCAGGGGGACCATGAGGGCAAGAGTGGGCTCCTGGACCTCGGTGACGAAGGTGGTGGCACCGAGCAGGTGGACGGTCTCGGGGACGTTCTCGGGCTTGGCGATACACTTGATGAGCTCGGGGATGAAGCGCTCGATATCCCTGTTGACGATGAGCTGGCAGAGCTGCTCCATGGTCTTGTAGGCACGCTCCTTGACCTCCTTCTTGGTGTCCCACATGGACTCGGAGATGACGGGGATCAGCTCAGGCACGCGGTGAGCGAGCTGAGCGGGGGCGGTCTTGACGAGGATGTCGATGATGTCGAGGGCAGCCATCTTCTCGGGCCACTTCTGGGCCTCGATGATGGAGACCTTCAGGGGAGGAAGGATAGCCTTGACGGCGTTGGGGCTGATGGCCTGGCCGATGGCGATGGCGGCAGCGGTGGCGGCAGTCTTGACGGGCGCGGCCTTGTCACCAACGGCGGCGAGGACGGTGGGGAGGAGGTCGACGAGGAAGGGCTCCACGTGAGAGGAGATCTCGGAGTGGGAGGCGATGGCGCCAACGGCGACAGCGGCCCGCTCGCGAGCGGCGGCATCCTTCTTGTTGGCGAACTCCTTCTTCAGAGCATCAACGGTCCTGCAGAGGGGACGAGGTTAGCCAACATGTCATCTGTCATCGCGACTGGCGGGTGAGGTGAAAAGCCGTTTGGGGAAAACCACACGGGAGAAAATGTGGGCTCGCCACTGTAAAAATTGAGGGGGTCAGAAAACACTCACTTGGTGGGGACAGCCTGGTCCTCGATGCGGCCGTTGATGAAGGAAGCGAGAGCGGCAGAGGCATCCTTGACCTCGGCAGCCTCCTTGGAGATGGTGAGCTTCTTCATGAGCTCGTCAAGAACCTTGACGGACTGAGCGTTCTCGGCCATGTTGTCGGTAAATATTACGCGAGGCTTCGGGAGAGAAGGTGGTGGTGGTGTGGGAGGGACAGAAAAAGTCTTCGGATAGTGAAACCGTTGACTTTTTGTTGTGCTGCGTCTCTGGAGATGAGATGCAACGTCTATCGAGATCTAAGTCGTCGAAAAGAAGAAGAAAAACCGAAAGTCTATGCTGCGTACGCAAAAGAAGACTTTTGGAAGAGGGAGGGGTGGAGGAGTCGTGTGGAAGAGGGGCCCGCAGAAGACGATGGAGGTCGTATCTGCTCTATTGCGGCTCTTTTAGTTTTGTCTTTTTGAAATTGCGTCCGGAGGAAGACGACAACCAGGAGGAGGAAAAGAATGGAGGATTCGGAGGGGTGAAGGGGTCAAGGTGGGAGCGAGGGAAAAAGTCGCGGGTGGGAAGGATTTTATCTGTCCTTGACGGGGTTTTGGTGCTGGCTCTGCTTATCGGTGGTCACCCCTCACTGACGGATTGCCCTGGAGGGAGGGGGG